CATTATTTTCTTCCATCCATGATCGCGGATGTCAAGCCATGTCCAAAATGGGCACTGTTGGCTATGGGTATGACTCGCCACCAATGGTGACCTAAATGTAATGGAAAAACCCAAATCTGTAGCCATGAAAACTACAGGATTTGGGCACAGCACAATTTCAAGGGTCTAAAGTGTGTTCCCCTCCCAAAAAAAAAGTCCCACCAGAAAACACTGTCCATTAATGTCAACTTACAGTTTTGATACAAAGTTTTTAAACAGGAAACTCTCAGCTTGACCAAGTTTTTCATTTCATGTTTTTCATGGTTGCTTTTGGTGATCCAGAGATATGCCTCGGCAAACATCAGCACTCAAAACTGCATTTGCGCCTCGGTTCAAAAAAAGGGTTACTCCCCGGGATGTTTCAGTGCATAGTTCTGTCAGCATCTCCTTTGAAATTGAACTGTAAAGCTGAAATGCACACTTTGTTACTTCCATTTGCACAGGTCTAATGATCAGACTGCAAAGTGGCACAAACTCAGCTTTGGTTGTGTTTGATGTGGCACATCTCTGGATTGCCATAAGCAACTACCATGAAGCACAAACGCATTGAGCAAAGAGCGCCAAACTGAAAATGCAAGTTACAAATACTGCCAGTTGACAATGTTTTTCAGGGCACACAATGTACACGCAGATGAGTACTAAGAAGAGGAAAACCGGCATTAAATGGCACGTACCACCGGAAACTCATGCGACACTTTGCCCTCCGGTGGGATCCTGGCTCCAAACCCAAGCACCGGGAAGAGCTTGTCGCTGTCGTAGTCTTGGATGACCTCCCCCACCGACGAGATGGCCATCTCGTAATGGTTGGGCTGGTAGGGATTGATGTAATGAAGGGAGTTGCTGTGTGATGGGTTGCCTTGGCGAGGAGGAAAAAAATTCAACCATGTCAAGTACAACAAGCAGGCAACTATATTTGCATCATATCTGAGGTAGTGAGCACATAAAGAAACAAACAATAACACCATAAATAAAAAAAAAAAAAAATAAATAAATAAATAAATACATCTTGAAAATAACACCATGCAAACAACAGTTAACCCCTTCGCTCCGGGAGACGGCAAGAGCCGCGGCTTTATGTGAGGATTAGTGCATACCAACCATACAGTCTATTCACCATGCAGCTGCTGGTTCAATGGGACCTGCTGATGGACAAAGCCCTCCATTCAGGGCATACCACAGCCCAAAAGAATCCCGCTGCGAAGGGGTTCATTAATTTCAGCCAGTTTGAGGCCGGTGATGTTTATACCATTTGAGGCAGTGAAGTCTACGGCTACGGTGAAGTTGATCTGCATGCCTCCTTTGATGTAATCCAGGAAGCTGGGTTGTTCCTCGACCACACAGTTGGTCAGCTCGATGGTGCCCGAGTTCTTGTATCCCTTCTTCTTGGCTTTCTTTTTCGGGTTTATCAACTGAAATTATAACACAAAGTTTCAGAACGGACCGTATTTGTCGGTGCATTTCACACAAACTACTGAGTTTTGGACCGGCGATCACCAACGAGACATCACTCTTCTTTCATTGGGACAAGATTGTAAAATGTCTCAAGCTGGTCTGGGCAGTAACATCGTGGAAGCCTGGATGCTGAGGTGGGCTTGACATGATTTTACCCCTTTCGTTTCACAGAGGCTTTCCATTCCAGTCAAAAATCTCAAACTGTGTAACAGACAAACAACACATGTTCTCTACTTGAAATCTAACTTGGGAAAGCAAGCCTCAAGAATATGGATAAGTTTGGAAGAGATAACTGAGAAACTTTGGCAGTTTAGAAGGAGGGATATGAACACAATATTGCAATATTCTGAACACCAGATAAGTAGTTTTGAACTACAACAACCTTGAAGAAAGTTAGCCTACTTCTCCGACTGCCAAAATGCCCCACGCAGCATTTTCTCCCTGAAAAGCACTCAGTTTGACACACAACCTACTACTGCTATTCCTAACCAAAGAGAGTCGGTATTACCTCAAATGTCTGTTTTCCCGTGGAAAGCTGCTTCATGTTTGTAGTGAATATACCAATCAGATCATGGCTACTGGAACAAAGAAGGCCAAGATAAGTAAAAGTCTACACAGCTGCCTGCTGTCCAAGAGACATCTCCATGTAGATTCCATGCATGCAAGTAACAAGCTCTCTGATTGGTTTTTGCCAACTCTCATTTCTATGTATCTACCAATCAAAGGGAAGCATAAAGCACCAATACTGAGAGCTTCTGCTGATTGGCTGTATGTAAATGGTAATTTTCCTGGAATACCGGCATGTGCATCAGCACAGAGCAGGATACACCAATAATAAATCACAAAATGGTAAACAAGAAACAGTCGCATATTCAAAGAAGAAACATGAATGAAAATCTACATGAAGGCATTCAATGTGTACAAACAAGATGGACAGGCAAGCAAAGGAAAATACCACCAACTACATGCACGACGTGTAGCAAACGAAAACATGATACCTGAATACCAAAGACTACTTAAATGCCTTGCACTGTGTCAAGTCACTGCATTAACCCTAACAGTCCTCAAAGCTTCCAACCTGTTGAAGGACTGCGTATTAATTGTTAGGGTTTGAGTTGACCTGAAGCTGGATTTTCCAGGCAGCCAGCTGCATCTTTTGTTTGGCATGTTTATGACCACAGACACAATGGGTTCATCACACCCGCAAAGGTCTTGGCTACGGCTTGCAGTAATGCATGCATGTACGGTATAAGAAGTAGCCGTAGCCACTGGCCAATTGGCTGCCATACTGGCACATGCATTGGAAGCCATAGCCAAGACTTTCTAATGAAACATTAAGAAAACTTGTCAGTTATTCCGTGTACACGCACAAGGAACACAAAACTTTGGGTGTTGTCATTTTATTTAACATGAGCATTTCAAATAAAACTGGCAGATCTCGTATAAGGCCAACGTCACAGGCAAAACAAAGCCGTTGGAAGATTGCCAGCACGCTTACCCTCCGTCACTATCCCAGTCAAAGCATTCCACTTTGATGGTCCGATCCTGGTCGCCGTTGCACAGCGCCCTCACAAGAATCGGGAATGGCCGCCATGATGGATTCAGAGTGTTCTTAATCACTTCCGTTTTGTGGCATATTGTGTACCTTTCATTAAAAAAATTAGTCAGTCTAAATATATCAATATGTCACAATTTATTTACGATGCCTAACACAGTTTCGTTTTTATGCTCTCCTACTGTGAAAACGCATGTTGCTGAGCATGCTGGAACTTGGAAGCATAGATATTTAGAATGATCCAGAGAGAAACGTCCAACTTACGAATTGTCTTCATTGCAGCGATAAAAGACCATGAAGGGGTCAGACTTGCCCAGGAAGTCTTTCTTGTCCAGCTTGTGCCCACAAAAGCTGAATGTTGCTCGTGTCTGTGCAAACATAAAGTGATGTAAACTCCTGTTACCCTTAAAAGTCATTATCATTACACATCTTCGTAACAATCTGCTAAGCACAAGATTTTAAGCTTACAGAGGCTCTGCATATTTTGCGTAGACAATTAGCAGTAAACCAAGCAAGAGGCACGCTAACTTTGGAGGAGCAAATTGATTTCTATGGTAAGCACGACATTTCTCCTATTAATCACTCCGTGAAATTGGGCCCAGAGCTCAGAGGCTTATTTAAGACCAACCTAAATATCCCCTCAAGCCCATGGACCCCTGCCCCTCAAAAACTTGATCTGTCTTACCTTGCAGTCACTGACTTCCTCGGCCGCTATGATGATTTTGCCGGCTTTCTTCCCACTCGCACTGAAACACAAGCAACCATTTTAAACAAACAAAATGAACTGGGCCATTGGTTTTCTCCCTTCCACATCATCAGCACACCCGTGGGGGGGGCAGATCGTTACACACCGTTGCAGGAGTGTAAGTGGCCACACATTCAACCAAAACTTAAAAACAGGCCACAAAAAGGTGAAATTTATGAAGTTCTCATAATTTTGTACAAAGCAGATGTGAGCAGAAAGTCAGAGTAAAAGTCGCAATCAAAAAAACTGAAATCAGCTGAAAAGCTGAATTCTCAAACTCCTGCTTTGACATTTCAAAGACAAGGCACAGATCTGATCAGGGGCGGATGAAGGATTTTTGCCAAAGGGGGAGAGTATGAACTCAAACTTTTAGGGTCACAGCCATAAAATTAAGGAGGTTGGGTAACCAGAAACAAAACTGTTGTTTTTAAGCCTTTGTCTCATTTATTGGGTTGGGTCCCTCTTTTTTCCCCTCCGTTTTTTTCTTCTCTTTTATTTATTCATTTATCTCTTCGCTGAAAAAGGGCGGGGCATGCACCCCCATGCCCCCCCCCAATCTGCCCCCGATGATATTCACAAATCTTTCTGAAATCTTCCCTACAGTACTTACTTTAATGGTTTCTCCAGACGATTATTAGAGGAACCCAGGATTTCTCCTAAAGTGGTTTCAAGACTCCCTAGGAAATCCTGAATGTAAATTGAAAGTTCAAAAGAAACTATTAATCAGGGACAACGTCATATGGGAAAATTACAAATTTGAGGAGGAAACCCAAAGTTCAAAACGCAAATAAAATATACTTTTTGCACACTGCCCTTTGCCTGTTTATTACACTACATTTGAAACCCTAGGACCCATACATGTACAAAATCCAAACACAACCGTCATATTGTACACCTACAACCTTATCATGCTGCCAATGTAAGTCTAATTGGCATGTGTCTGCTTTCTATTCGTAGTGTTTCATGCCAGATAGGGCAATATGTCAGAGCAGCGTTTAGATTACTGGCTCAAGGGGGCCCTCGGCTAGAGAGACCGTCACCAGTCCATTTTGGGTAAGCGGGACAAATGACTGCGGCAAAAATAAGCCAAGCACGTAAGGTAAGATGCTTCCTTGAGAACACCAAGCAATGTACATGTAGCGGTTGCCTAAAGTGAATACTTTCCATACCAGTAAACTTGTCAGTGACTACGTGGTGGAATGAAGATCCATAATGCTTTTATTATATCAAGTGGCACAAACATGGTCATCAGTTTGCAAAAGAGACGGCACTTCCCACAAGAGTATTTTCCAATATGTATGTGGTATGTGTACATACATGTATGTGTGCAGTGTGCACCCAAGCATTCAATTTGAAGATCGAGGCAACTCTTCAACAGCAACAATCCTTCCTTAAGGCTGTGCCAAAATCCAAGTAACTGAATATTCTATTGATTATCAAATATTTGAATATTACTCTTTAAATTTGAATACGCTCTGGTGATGCTCTGTACTGTATGTGACTGCTTCAAAAAAGCAGCCCATGAATGAAAATGTTTCCAATGTCATCATTGTTTTCACAAAAGACACAAATTTCGCTTTGCGGCACAAAACAAAACTTTCAAGAAAACTGCATTTTAAAGTTGGTCACTTATCAGAACTTCATCTGTCCAATGCTGAAGAAATGTATCCACCTGACAATTGGCAACATCTATTCTGTTGTCATTACACGTGATAGCAGCAGAATTGTTGCATTTGTAAATCATTCAAGAATTGAATTTGTCCCTTCAGGAAAATGAAAAAAATCCAATGGGGTAAATTCTGCCCTTCACTGCTTATTAATGGAATCTCCACTGGATCACAAAGTTCGGCCCTTCCTGAAAATGACACATACAGTTTGAATCATCGTTGTTTGGCCAATGGCAACAGATATGGTAAAAATGACTTCACCAGAAGACAACCTGGTCAGTTTCGTTCAAATATAGAAAACCAAAAAACAGTGACGATTAGGGGCCAACTTCAGCAAGGTAGAACCTGGAAAGACTTCTCGTGGTCCTGCTGATTCCTTCTCCCCTCACCCTTCCTTTAAAATGAGCCACTCAGGAGACGCGTCTATTGGAGTGGTACGATGCTCAAAAGTGCATTCTAAAACTTAAAGAGTACACATATGCAGCAGTACGTGCATTTTGGCACTCCACAGCACCCTATCAATCAAACAGGCAGGCAACTCATGTTTGTACCTCCTGTCCATAAGTGTGGTGTCATTCACCTTCCAATACACTGGTTGCCTAATGCGGTTGATAAGAGCACGTGCAACACAGTTAAATCATTCCATGCTTGAAGCAAAACACCAACCAACAAAAACAAAGACAGAAATCATCGGCTTACGTGAGAGGTGAGTTTCTGTCTGGGGGAGTCCACATCATAACTGAAAAATGAGAATATTCAGAAAAGGCTAATACGAATTGATCACACAACCGATACAAATAAAAATTATATCAGAAGAACTACTAGTAGCTATAGTGAAAGAGGAAATAACTCCAAGTGCTACCAACTACTGGAACACATTACCAGTGCATCTCACAACAGAAACTGTATAAAAGGAATGGTACATCTACCTACATGTATTATTTGCATTTTCATTTTGAGAAATGTCTCTTTGTATATGAATTATAAGGAATCAAGACAGTATTGGAATGACTAATATCCACTTCTGCATGAATTGCCCATAGAGGATAATGATCGCCACATTAAATATATGTACTGTACTTAGACTTTCATGGGTGCATCAAGTTGAACGAGCCATTTGCGAGTTAAATTTAAATAATATCTTGTACACTGAGTTATCTGATTGCACATACATTGTAAACATAACGATTTGAATTCCCCAGACTAAAGACACTGTTACTATACCTTGTGATTCGGGGCAAGCTCTCCCATAGCAACCACCATCCCTGGAATGGACTGGTTCCTTTGTGCCCTTCTTATCCATTGAGAACAGTGTATTGTTGCAAGGCGTCTCTTATGTAACTAAGCAAAAGCTTGCCCCGAATCACGAAGTATAACAATGAAAAATTCAATTTGTTATGTTCATGTGAATTTAAAGAACTCAGTGAAGCAGATTTTTTTTCTCAAAAAAGGCTATTTGCATATCAAATAAGTAGCAATTTACAGACAACTGTTTTCTTAATGAGCAACTCACTTTTAAAGTTTCCCTGAGATCCTGTGTTCATAAAACTGTGATAATACCAGGATTACTTGTCAGAGCTAATGCAGTCCAAACAAGAGACAACCAGTGGCTTGAAACAGAGAGCTCTCTCAGAGAACTTTGATCATTTACACCATTCACTTGACAATAGTGAGGGGGAGACAGCATGGGGGGTGCACTGCTCAACAACGTGGGAAAGAGGTTGACTCCCCAATCTCATTGGTTTTCTCAGTGCATCACGTGTCAATTGCTGCAGTGTTTTTTACTCACATTTCGAATTTCAGCCTCTGGCATTCTTCAAAGAAGTAAGTCAGGATGAACTTCTTGACAAAGTCTGGATTCAAGGTGTTCTGGATCTGTTCCGTTCTCTCATACTGATGACAGAAAAATCGCAGCACACAGTCTTTTAAATAAATGTGACTACACGTATGTGCAATGTCACTTACATGCACTGCACCACTGGCTAAGCTCAAGTGACAACCATACAGTACTTCAACCACTGGTCAATTTTCCCTTGGAACCTCTGCAAAAATATACATTACGGGCACCGGGGAAAATTGACTAGCGGTTGACAAGTGATCCTCACTTGAACTTGCCCGGTACTGTAAATGTACATGTAAATCGGCTTGATATTTTCACAACAGCATTGCACTTTGCATCTACCCCCACCCCAAAAAGTTCTGTTTTAATTGAGATGCTATGAGAATTTACTTCTAAAAATTTTAAACTCTGGTTCCAGTCAGTCTGTTTTTTAGCAGGCTTTGATGAGCTTGTTGTGTTGGCAGGGTGTCTGAGCAGTCCGGGCGATTCACAATAGTGCGCCACCAAGAGTTTGCAACAAACTGGCCAATCATAACGCGCGAAATTTGTCGACCATTTTCAAACGCGCATTGAGTCGACAAATTTCGCGCATTGTGATTGGCCAACGCGTTGCAAACTCTTGGTGGCGCACTATTGTGAAACGGCCGTATTACCGATACCGAGAAGCTCAGACTTGAGCTAGTGTAAATTGAATAACTTACACTTGGATGAAAAATCTGAACACTTACATTTATGTAAATGTCACATGGAAATTTATACATAGTCAGTTAGAGCTGCCTACCTCGGCAAATTGTTTGGATCCGAGCTGGGTGGTATACAAGACACACACTATTATAAAGCAAACCAAACGAGACAACCACAATTAACCAATTAGCACACACAGCATTTGTATTACAATGCACGCTACATACATGTACATCTACCGTACTCAGTACAGATCAATGGGCAGGCTGCCTGATTTTGACGATCCCCTTTATTTAGCCATTCAACATTTTCCTTTGCCATGCAGGTCCAAAGTTATAAAATGAATGAGCAGGGTTAAATAAGCATGCAAATCAGGGTAAAACTGGGCATCCGTCTATGGACAAATTTCACTTTCACATCGGAAACAGAATTTTCACAGGTAAAAAGGTCATGAAGAAAAGGCAGGGAGAGTGTCCACCACGAAACATTTTCTCTGAGGTAATACTGATAGTCTATCAGCATCTTCAGCAAACAAGCCAGACACCCGAATATCATCATCTTGAACATTTCATACACAATGGCTGCACAGCTTTTGATGTTTGGTGTGACACTACGGGGTAGTAATGGGCACTGTGTAAAAAGTGTGCTCCTGAAAGAGGACATTTGTGTGTGCAGTTACGGAGAAAAAAGGTACTGTTTATGAAGAGGACAGTGAGCATTTAATGGTTACAAAACACTGAAGGTACAAAAAAGGACACAAAAGAATGGGAATTTGAAATAATATGAATAAATAACAATAAATACCCCACATATCTCATGATCTCCCATGCTAGGCTTCTGAATCCCATTCAACAATGCCACTCTTACACCTTGAGGGGGCTTGCAACCTCTGATGCTAGGCTATTTGAGCCCAACCTGTAGCTGACCCGTTGGATCTTGTTCATAAGCTGAGCATGCATGTGTACTCTTCCTTGGACAAGCATTTTGTGTTAAAGTTCTGGACAAAGTGGGGTTGGAGATTTACATGTAAACAGCTTGCACAGCATGGTGATGGAGCCAGAATTGTCCAAACTCTGGGGTATGCATACTGTAGACCACGACATTTGCATAAACCAAAAAATAAAGAAAACAAAAACACGAACATGGGTAATTCCAGAAATTACATGTACATGTAGGGGTCCATTTTTTTCCCTGTGTCCCTGTCACATCTGACATATGATATTGTAAGTTCAGAACACATGTGTTAATTTCCAAGAGCGAAGAATCAATGCAAACTACCTGCCAAACGAATCGTAATAGAATTCAATTCTGGCGATATTTCCATGTCAAATGAAACAGGGACACAAAAATGTCAAACGTTTAGACCCTTAATTTCTAGAATTACCCACATACACGAACATCTCAAACCTTTTCTAACTTTTAAATTCATGGTATGTGTGGGCACTTACTTGGGTCTGACTTGGACATGACATCTCTGTCCCTCAAGTCCCTGTATTAGAAGAAAAAGACAACAAACACAAAACACTCACTGTATTTCATTTTTTTGGGGGGGGGACGGGCATTTTAAGCTTTAGGTGCACCGATACACATATTATGTCAAGTCACGATGTCCAATGTTGAGAGGGAACAAGGGCAGATCCAGAACCAAATTTCAAGGGACTGGGGGATTTGTATTTGGGCAAGGAACCCAAAATTTGTCAATTTTTTCTTCATAAAACCTTTTACGGCCCAGCTGTGGAGAAAGGCTGCATTTTCGGTCTTTTTAAACACTTCTGGGAAGAAGGGAATAAAGAAGATATGTACCCCAAATCACCTTCGTCTCACTAAATTAAAAAAAAACAAAATTTGTTCCTTTTGGGGAGGGGGTCAGGAGGTATGACCTCAGTTGAGTCCTCCCCTGGATCCATCAAAAAAAATTGAAGTACAGTAAACATGTACATGTATGCACCGGTACACATGTACAGGGTACTGTACATGTACAGGGGTAGCCCAGCCTGAGGTTGGAAATTGTCTTCATTACACCACGACTAACGTCCACGTCGCCACGACTGTCAGATTGTAAAAGACAACCACTACAGCCCTATTTGTGGGGCTAGATGCAAGGGAGCCGTCGTGCCGTGAAGTTGCGTTGCCTGGAGGGAAGCTAGAGAGAGGAATGTGTGTCGTAAATGTAAAGGCATGACTAGAATTATAGGCCTAATACGAGTAACATGACTAATATGCCCACCTGCACGACACGGTGATTTCTACTCTTGTCGCGGGCACACTCGCCGTTCCGGGTTGAAACAGCGTCGCAGCCGAATTCACGGCCATCTTCCACCAGAAAGAGATAAACTGATCAAATATCTGGAGCTCAAGCTCTAAAGACTAAACGAGGCAAGCACATGCAGTACAGTAAGAGTAATGAGTAAGACTGGGACAGTCGATGCACCTGTTAGAGGAAAAGCGCGTTCAATATGTACAGTGTACAGTAGTAGTAGTAGTAATAGGTCTAACGTTCTAGGGTATATGGGCTGGGCCGAGCAAAATTAACAGAGCCTATTTCCAAAACCAAGTGCGCCCTCATTTTGTTCACAGTGGTTTATTTTTTTTTAACTCAACTCGTTTAATCCCGGTCACTGATGACGGTAATTTTATATAGGCCGTGTTCAATTAACTTCCTATCGTTTTCGGTGTTTTGAAGGGGCGGGTGACTTTCACGGTTGCTCCCTTGATGCGCACAATAAGTAAGCTTAGGAGCCATCCAATCTATTCTTTATCGTTTCCACTAGCGTACAAGGAGTATCGTTTACAGACCCTGCGCTTATACCTAGGGGTGCACGGGTCGCAGCAACTTAATTTCCATAGACAGCGGTGATAAATCCCCATACTTCACAGAAATACTCAGAACTCGCACAGGTGTTCAGGCTGCACATGAAAACGATGTTCGACATGTCCTCTTTCTTCTTCCTTTCACTTTTTAGTGAGTTGACCAATTAATTTTTGAGAAATTTTCACCCAAAGCCGACCACCCCTAAAGTGAAGGAAATTTCACTGCCTGGAAAAGTAGCCAAACGGCTAAATAGTGCCACTTTCGGACCCGATTGCAATAAAATTGCTCAGAATTGGAAGCCCTAGGCCTGATTCCGGGCCAGAGGTTCAGTGCATATGTCTTCAAAGCCCCCCCCCCTTCCATGGCTGAGTGCATGTGAGTTCGGCGGAGATATTTCTGGCCTATTTTCCAGAGAGCACCCCTACAGAGATTTTTTTAAACGGTGATATTATCATACGTACGGCATACTGAACCAGATCTCTATTCGAAGCATATAAATATTTTTGCTCGCATCTTACCATTATAAATTGTTAAAAAGAGCAAGTACGTACTCTACGAACATGACAAAGAAACGAAAAAGGGAATTAGGAGAAAAACAGGTGATTGTTGTCAGGGTTGTTGGAGTTTTCGGCAAGGGCCTCCCGTGCGGGGTCGTCAGCGTTGTTTCCAGCTGGTACGGTTCCCCCTTTCCCGCCTATAAAACCCACAGGCCCGCACCACGTGGGAGAAGAAAGACCGGCGGGCGCTGCTCTGAAGTTTCATGTCACTTTCAGCCAAACGTGCCCATCCTCTGCAAAGGTACTTCTGTGGGCTTGAGGGCTGTCAAAGTCAGAGTTTACCAAAGCGATACAGTACTCAACCAACCAACTTGTATTTACGACTGCATACAAATTCAATGCATGCAGCGACTGAGCTAGAGCTGCATTAATGCAAAAAAGGGACCTCACTGGGACCAGAAATTGAACCAATGTGCACGATTAGAAGTAAACAATTAGCTTTATCCTTGATAGATCATGTACAAAGATGCCATTAAATGTTTTCGTTTCGTTCCAAGTGCAAAAAAAGCTTACAGCTGGTGAAGAGGATATTTCGACATCCTCCAAATTTAGTTTCAGGTTTCCAATCACAAACTAAATTACTGCCAGACTTCAAAACACAACACGGGTCCTATTATCCACTGCGCCATATCGCATATGACAACTGATAAAACCAAGCTCATTTTTGAACGAATGCTAACGGTATTCAATGAAACATGATTTATTACCCATATAACACTGAAACAAAGTAAAAACATCTTCAAGATGAAATTATTGCTTTTAGCATAAAGACTTTATACAGATTATATAAATACAGACCAAAGTTCGTCACTCTAAGGAAATTTCTTGGGGGCACACCCTTGATAAATTTGACAGTTTTCATTTTTGATTATAACACAAAATCACCGTGGCGTGAACAACTGAGGCATGATCAAACAGTACGGAAACGCAAAAAGCTTCGCGAATAACTGAAACGTCTATCAAAGTATTCAAGCTGAAAAGTTCTGGTGAAGAAAACCCAATAAACAGAAAAGGGCACGTCATACGGATAACATATCCCTTTCGGCTATTCTAGAGAGGTATCGTGCTGCAGCCTGAGCAAATTAAAAGCAGTACAAAGATTCCGGCTAGAAAAAAAATGCCAAGAATACTAGCAAAATGCTACTGTAGGCAGGCAGCACTTTGAAGCAGAAACAAATCATACAAATGTGTTTGTTGAGCAGCTTGTAAACATTTTTTACCAATAGGAAATAATGTTTCGGCCGGTTAGTACAATTTAAACTCGGCTGCGACTTTTTCAAACTCAAATCTAATTTCAAATGCTCTCGGAATAACCTTGACTACTTGACATTCTAGTCTCAAAAAGAAATTAAAAATGGGATCTTCAACGGTGAGTAACAAATGCAAAAATAGAATGGGTGGAAACCAGTTTGAATGCTCTTTTTTTCTTGTTATGAATTCAGCGTACTTCTTTTATACAACAATTCGAAATGTGTGGGTTTTTTCAGAATAACTGCAGTCAAGCAGGAATGCATCTAATCACGGATAGACTGAACACAGTCCAAATGCCTTCGATCAAAAATAAGAACTGGTCTTCTTTCACCATTTCTGTAGGCACTTTAGAAAGGACCTGAACGTTAGCATGAAAAAAATACATCTCTATAATGAAATGTACAAAAGAATTACATCTATGAAATGGCACTTAAAGACTTACATGTATAAATTCTGATAGTCATTCACAATGGTTATTTGATTAAATACTAAATTATACTCAATATAAAAAATGACCGACAAAAACATTCTACGGTGGAAAAAGGCTTTGGGCACCGTGCATATATGAAAATGAACCAAAAAACTGCATGTATGTATACACATTAGCTAGAGAAATACACGGTTACATGCAAGGGACCCACTTCACACCGCTGCAAGGCTACAAAATCTGCTAAGCACTGAAGACATTAACTCAGCAAAAATATGGGTTTCCTGCCCGTGTGCTGGTTTACAGCTGATTTTGCTCTTGATGAACAATAACAAGCTTAAGTACATAATCATTTGCCCTTAATACAGCTCTGCAGCGATGATCCATGCACTTGACAATTCAGCTATGAACATTTGGGGGTGTAACTTTCCCATTGTGTGTTGTGACTGAAGGTTTTGTAATTAATGTTATTTTTCACAGACCATGATTTTCAGCAGAATTTTTTTCCTACAGATTTGGTTAAATTTCACTCTGCACATCATGCAATAAAAAACATATTTTCCAAACAAAATTACGCGTTCAGCCTTTTCACCTCAGCCTTGATATCTGCATTCGGATGATGCTTTTGAATAGGGCATTTTTACCTGGCGTAAGCATTGGATACTGAAAATGGGTAAGTCCCGCATGGCACCCTGACTTCTCCGCCACGTATTTGTATCTTGGTTTCCCTGCGCTGCCTGTTAACATTGGGGCGGGTCTTGCCGGCGATAAAGGCTGCCCTGCCCACTTTGTGGACGCCCTGGATCGGGTCTGGACCGCTGAGCGTCACCAGGTTGCCCTGCCTGTTGCTGACGAAGGTTCCGCTGCGCGGAATCAGCTCAGGCGACCAGCCGCCCGCCACCGGTGACTGGCGACTGGAGTTGGGCCGGCTGATGCAATCATCACCAACAGGGGTTTTCACGCTGTCCCGCCGGCAGGCACAGTCTGCAGCCGTTTTGTCAGCTTCCAACTTGACCCCAGGGATGCCGCTGTTGCAACGCGAGCAGGAGCGACCCCAGGCGCCATCTACAATCCCGACTGCTGTTTCCCGGTAAAGATCACAGATACAGCAAGGAGGAAGAGGAGAGACAGACGAGGGTGAAGGGATGCGGCAAGGACAATGAGACAAGACGCAGTGAGCATTACGTGAAAACAGATGCAGGGGGTACCATGGCAACGATGGGGATGAATGCAAGCAAGGATACCAAGGTTACAAAGGTCGACCATGCCAGGAGATGAACATCCAAAGGTGAGGCAAGGCAGGAAGAATGATACCGTAGGATGGAGAATAAGGCAAAGGGAGGTGAGGGGAAAGGGAAAAAACAAAGTCAATGTGAATGAGTGGCACCAGCATTCCCATGTGAAGGGTTACCGTCAATATTCAAGTTAAAGCTGTATACAGGCTTTAGCATCCAAAGTAGGGCTCAAACAAATACTTCAAACGGGAGATGGACACACATGTTTTTGTAAGGTCATTAGCAATTCCACAAAGCTTACAGATTTGGATTTAAAATGGTTTATGCTCAACCATAGGGTTTTAAAAGAGGATGAGTAGGTCCCGAAAGCATTTTTGCCTGAAGTCATGATCATAAAACGGGGAAAAATGCACTAAAGCAAAGCAAAATATGAAAAAAAATTACAAATTATGAGATACAATGTCTAAAGTCAGTAGTGATGAAAGTATTCATCAGAAATCCCACAGACTAGTGGCTTCAACAATTTGAATACAAAGCAGTTTTATCAGGAAGACTTTCCTCAATATGCTCTACTTTTATGAGTATAGTTTTTATTTGGGCGTCTGAGGCATAAACAACCCATTTTGTCTGGTTTATTTGCAAGCATAGCAATTGATAAAACAGGTGTTTTGACGTACAACTTGAGTCATGCTGGCTATCTCGCTGCGTAATGTCATCATGTGATGATTTAGCTTGCGTAAGCGCAGACGATGCTGTAATGGAAACAAACAGATGGGAATGAGGTGTGAGTGCGGGATGGAGGTTAACGATCAGTGTGGCCCATTTCTCAAAGTTCAACTTTGGTATCTGGATTTGGGTTTTTTTGTCTCTGACCAAATAGCTATTGCTGGACTTGTTGAGGAGGAAAGACTCCACACTTTTGCTTCTTGTCGTATGGGTCTTGATGTCTCAGAATCTCCACAGTCAGCGCAACACTGAAGATGCCGAGATTTGAGAAATGCTTAACTTGAAATTAATGGGTTAATATGACATCTTAAGCCATGTCCACAACTGGCTTTAGGAGCTAGGAGCTTGGTCTATCGTCAGCAAGTTCTGACATATTTGTGACTGGCAAAAGACGTGGTGCTAGCTCTAGTTGCCAGACATGGACAAGGCCACAAGGAGGACGGGGTACATGATTAATTGTGGAGTTCTTGAAATGAATGGTTAGTATGAGGCGGCACCTCAACATGATTAGTCATTCACTGCATTAACTCAATGGGAGTCAAAGCACATGCACAAGATTAACTTATACATGTAAGTCACGTCCAAAATGGGCACCAATGAAAGCTACGGCTATTCATCAATGTGGCATGTGCATGGCAGCAGCCACAGCCGTACACAGCCAACTTGGACACGGCTCGGCAAACATGACAAGATAGTACAATTACAACATTTGCCACAGAAAAGAGCACTAAATAAAGCTTCATCACACTGATGGCAAAGAGTAAAGAAAATGATGGTGATCAATATGACACACACATGAAACAGCAGTATATTGGGACGCAGACTGGCCAAGGGTCCTCTCCAGCTTGTCAAGGTAAAAGCAGGATGGCAGATCATTGATTTGTCGTCCTTTCGGATCTTTTTAAGTAAATGTATTTCTACATATGGGAAAGTTCTAAATCGGTATACACTTTTACTGGGGTCCAGTGCGCCAATTAAGTATAATGTTGCAAAATGGTCCGACAGATCTGCTATTTTTAAAAAGGAAAACACATCTTCACATTCTCCCAAGTGTACTGCCTCCAATTACACTAGGCACAGTTGGGAGAATTTTGGCACATGCAGAGAATGAATACACACTCAATCAGCCCAGATGAGCGTCCATTTACCTGAACTGTACCCATCGGGCCTGACGGAAGCAAGCGGGTTAATGATGGACACGAGAGATAAAAAAAAGAAGCAAACGTGTTAAAAACAGACATGTCAAACTATGACTGATGAGTCAAACGGTGAATGTGACAAGTCCTCATCTGTCTGCTTCGATGGCAGCCTTTTGCAGAATATTAGAGCTCGAACCATTGCTACCTTTGTTTCTTGATATTTGTAATAGGACAAAAACTACTTAACTGTGTGAAATTTCATTCGCGTAAATGTTTCAACAGGGGAAGTCCCTAAGAAATTCTTCAACCAATGAAAATGTTGAATGCATTCAACGCATCCAAACACTGCTGTAGTTATTTCAGTCACCTTGAATATAATACTTGATTATCGGGAGTAATCTCTTGAGCGCAGTTGATACATATATATACTTTTCATTTATGTAAAAAAGTTTGATTTAAAATCTAGACTACAATCTGCGAAGACCCACCGACTCCTTGGTCGTGTTCACAATGCATTGGTATGCATACCATCAACAGCAGAGGTACACAAACGTGTGCCAATTCCGGCGTACACATTTAGCCAGTGAATATGGCCCTAGGTATTGCTGTATAGTGGAATTCCAGTGTCCCACTCATGAGATTTCATCTAGTATTTGCCATGTCACGTACGTGACAAACATTTTCGGCTGCGACAAATTCAGATCCTTGAGATGTATTGAGCTTTTCCAATAGTTTGATTCTTAAGCACTTGCACAAGGTAACTTTCTCCGTTTGTATCGGAAGAAAACCATCTATTGCAATGTAACCAGAAGGAACAGCATTCAACTCATGACATAGGTGAGAATGCAGCAAACCTCATGCAATGGACACCGTCAAAGAACAATGGACAGATGACATTCTTGGTTCATGGCACGAAGTTAAGCATCACACTACTAGATGTCAACACCGTTGACATTTGCTGACGGAACTGCCAAATGAACTATCCTAATAACTACATGTAAAGTACGGTACCCTTCCATCTCCCCTTAAGCTCAAAAGACGCTATCGGATTTCAATTCCAATGCTTAGTATATAGCCCAGCTGTCAGTCTTTGGGCTAATTAGCAATAGGAGTGGCACGGATATTCACCCCTTGCAATCTATCTAGTTGCTTACGGAAGACTATAGTTAACTGCCTGGTCTTTCACCACAGGGCCCATTCCTGGCCCAATCTCATGGTGCTTCTACGCACGCGATCTACTACTGAGGAGATCGCAAACAGGAGATCACAAACAGGAAGCAAAGAGATTGCTAACTTCAACTCGCAATTTGCTGTATTAAGTGACGGGACAATAGAACTGCGAATACTTATGCAGCATGTCCACACTTTGAAATAAACTTGGGATAAGTACAAAGTTTCTGCACCACAAACTCTGCCTCCAGTGTGACTCTCCCTATAGTCTAGAGTCTTTGAAGTGATTTTAAATTCAGAAACATTTGAGCAAGAGTTGAAGGTTCGCATCTTAGAGAAGCAATGTGGGAAAGTTGGCAATTGCAATTAGGAGAAGAAAATCTCTTTAATGTGAGTTGGAGAGATTCTATTCAAAGAACTAGAGTTTGAACATCTCTTGCCAAGAGACAATCATGTTGTGAGAAATGTCCAGCTCTTCAGTTCTTTTTAGATCAACGACTCATAAAATGAGACGTGAAGCCACAAAATTACCCACACGTGCCACAATGCAAAGTTTATTACCAGGCCTCCTAAATTTGAGTAGTGCTGCCCTAAATGTGTCACACATGAAGCACGTGTCATTGCATTCAAATTTGTCACTGGGAAGTCACTCCCATGTTACCTGTGTAGAGTATCATCTACACAGTCATTTTTCAATATGAGCCAGCTAACCAAGCTAGTAGTTGGCGTCACTGGATGCAGCTTTTCTCAATATTGCACATTCGTCCACTGAAGTCTATCTACACAATGTCTCTCAGAGCCCTTTTTTAATACCCCAAAGGTTACTGAGTAAACTGACTGCGGTACAAAATGCAGCTTAATCAAATTGCATAGTGAGTAGATCGGTTTTTATTTAAATTCATTTAGGCACTGGAGTAGACAGACACCCCGTTCGGCCCAATGACAAAATGCTTCTCGGAATGGTCCGGGTTGTGGTGCTGCAGCTTCAATTTGGGATTGGTCAGTTGACCATGCTTGACCAGCGGGTTTTTGGGCCGTTTGGGATGGCCGATGTGATAGGTCCCGACGTGTGGGATCTCGGCCGTCTGGTGAGTGGCCGATTCGGAGGAGGGAGAGTGGCCGGCAGTGCTGGCTTTGTGATTGTAAATCGTGTAGGCCTTGAGCGACTTGGTGGGCTGCAGGCCGCTGCGCTGCTCGGGGGCTGGGGGGGTACCCTCCACCCCAGTCCCCTTGACGGTCACCGCGCGGAGCTTCAGCTCCTCCCGGACCACCTCGCTCTCCTGGCTGACGTTGGGCAGGCGGAAGTGGTGGTGGCGCTTCCGCCGGCCCCTCGCCTTGCCCTTCTTTTGGTGGTGGTGGCCAGGCTTGCGGGCCTCCACCAGCTCCAGGTCGTCCTTGCTCATACCTGCCAGCTTGCGGGTCATCTCCTCCAGGTTGGTGGCCCGGAGGAGCTCCGGGTCAGCCTCGGCATCCGGCTCCGTTTGGCTGGTTTCAGCTTTGCCCGGCTGGCTGGGTCGGCGGGGGCTGGTCTGTGAGGGATTGCCGCTGGCATTGGTCTTCCGCAGGACCACCGGGCCATCCGGCTGGCGCGGGCTGATGATGTTGGGCTGGCTTCGCTGCCTGTGTATCCGGAGGGACGGGTTACGTAGGCTGGTCCCCTCAATGCTGAGCTGGGCACCGACGTATGGAGGAACTGTCACTTGAGGCTGAGACATTTGAAAAGGGAAAGTCGGAAATAATCAATTTCTTACTTTAACAGACAAATGAAAAATTTAGTCATGTATCCACAGTTGATTTGAATAATTGTGACTTGACTCACGTCTCGATGACTCGTGACGGACTTACAGGAATTTGTGATGGAGTTTGCAGTGTCTTACACTGAAACATCCACAAAAATGCTGAACCAGGATCGCTGAGATTGAAACCCACCTGCCTGAAGGCCAGCTCAAACCTGCCCGTGTCACAGTTCTTGTCATGCCGTCGGTCCAGCACCACCTTCATGGTGTCCTCAATCACGTCATGGCATAGCTGCTCCGTGATCTCGGTGGTGGCACCCATGGCCGGCGAGGAATTGATCTCCAGCAACCAGGGCTGGAAGTCCTCTGTCAGCATGAAGTCGGCCCCGTACAGCTCGAAGGAATTCTGGCCCCGGAGAGAAAGAGAAGACAGTTAACAACTGATTCCATGCATCACAGAGCAGAAGACATACTTTGTCAGCACATTTTACGAAATTCTACATATATACACATTAGTGCCAAGTGATGTCTATACGTTTCCCAACACTTGAGTGGTTCCAACTGTGTTTGTATGCACACACAGTCTCACAGTGCTTGGGGGTTAAGCGTCTCAAGCAGTCATGGGCAACAGCTTAGTGTTGCAGCAAATATCAATCTGCTACATAGTCTCAGATTTTTATAAAGGGGACAATGCAGTGAGATACGTCGCACAAATCTTGAATGAATGACCACCAAGGGTCAGCAATTGAAAAGTCCAACTTTGTGAAGAACAGCAGTTGTTGTATCTTGTCATTTTCAAAAATCGGCATATTCGGCTGAAAATAAAACCGTGCCGGGGGCAAGTATGTGGAATAATACCCTTGGCAAATAGTGAAAAGATAGGACTTTTGTGAAGATAATTAAGTATGGTCGGACCTCAGTCATAAGAGCACTGTTAATACAAGATTCTGATTATAACAAGGAAAATTTCAGGTCCCAATCCTTTGTTTTTCATTGTTTTCATTCCTGATAACACAAGGTTCCTGATATAAAAAGGTGATTTACTGTCCATAGGAATTCTTATTATCGAGGTTCAACTGTATTTCAATGCCTCGATGTTGAGAGTGGTTTGTCGTCATGATACAGTGTAAAGTGACTACTGTTTTCTTAAAACTGGCCGTTTCTACAGAACACCTAGAAAAAACCACGTTTAGATTCAGCTGTATCAAAATGTTATGGCACCCTACCTTGCGCATCTCCACCACATCCTGGGTGCACTGGAGCGCGGCGATGACGGCCCTCTTCATGCCCGGGTAGATGCAGTCCTGCCAGACATTGCCACAGCCCCGGCCGCGCAGGTACTGCTGGAACTCCTCGCTGGTCCACATGTTCTCATCCGGCAGCATGGCTGAGCGTGTCGCTGCATTCTCAAAGTTCTTCTGCACCGAGAAGTTGGACAGGTGTATGGCCCTGTGACAGAGGTGAAAAATTTGGCATGATTTCCTCCCACGAACTCTCCCCAAGAAACGAAACTCTGCCGAATGAAACAAAATATCCATTATGAAGTGAGCAAGATTCTCAAAGCCCGGGAAAATGGTCACTCACGACTCCAGGTTGTCTAGGGAGAACGGCTGCGTGCAGAACCGGAGGTAGCTGCTCTGGTACCACCAAATTGTGAGCGGGTTCCAGTCGGTCACCAGGAACCACTGCCGGATGTCAAACTTGGTGTTGTAGATCAGGAGCGGCCGCTCAATGTACTTCTGCACCACCCACTTGCCCTCCTTGACGATGGCTGGGTTGCCCACCAGTTTGAGGATCTCCTCCAGCCGATTCATGCAGATTATGCCTGGAAAAAGAAGAGAGTTATCGTGGGTCAATGCGCTTGCCACAATCTCATCACGCTAGAGTGAGTTTGTGGTCCTTTTCTGGAAGTGCTATTGCTAACTGCAAGGCCTTATACAAGTTTTGCAAACATGTAGCGACTTTGCAAATGACCCTGCATGCTTGACTGCAAACTTGTGCAATGGTGTAGAAACCTGAAGCTAGCTTGCATGGTTTCATGCGAGCCTGTGGTATTACGCTCGCATGCAATAGGCCCGTGTACTGATGATGTCACGCTTTGTTCACATGTGAATTTTTCTACCGAGCAAGTTGGTCCAACAATCCGCTGGTCAGCTTAGGAAATACCCACAAGGCACACACCAATGAAGTGAGTCATCATCAGGGCAGGGGTCTCAAATTTATGGCAAGCTAGTATGGTTGGCTGCAAAGCGTGCATGATGGTTTACGAGCCCCCTAGGATCGAAGGTGTTTACATATATCATTCTTCAATGCCAAAAATGCTCCTGGCATTTTAACACAGGCACGAGTTCCAATGAAAATCATGCCACTTTCATACAGCTGTGAAGCACTGAATTTTAAGTGGGTTAAAAAAATGTTTGCTTCAATGCCAAAAGTAGGTTACCAGTGAAAATTTCCCGGAATACATTTCTTGTAACTAAATCCGAGCTAGCGCATAATTTAGTAAGCAACGTACACGTATCTGCTAACAAGCTCTATGAAATGTGGCCCTGAGCTAGATTGCAAGACAAGCTCGAAAGAAATTTATGCAAGCATATTATGCCTTGGAAGGTCAGCGTCCTAATAAAGCGATCCCACCCCGACAAGTGAGAAGCTGCACGATTTGTGCAGTGCCACCTGGCTTGACCTCGGCACCCACCTCTGCCCCTGGACTTGGCCCCGGGCTTGATGATCCAGATGTTGCGCAGTCCGTCCATGTCCAGCTGGGGCAGGACGGCTCGTACCCTGTTGAGCAGACTCTCGCACATTGCACTGTGATTGCTGGACTCGGCTATCAAGCCTCCGTCACTGGACAGAAAATTGAACAGATGGTAAAAATTGGTTGGGGCAATTTGTGCCAACTGGAGATGGGGGCCTTTTTTTCTTTGTTTCGCCTTTTTTGGCGGATATTGCAGGAAACAACTCAACTGCTCATTTTCAAATATCCAGAAGGTGAAATTATGCCACTAAATAATGTCAACTGGAATATCACGTATGTATAGGGTGTGAGAATCTTCACAAAAGGTGGGTTTTATCAGAACATACACTACAAACCATGTCCAAACCATACTTAACCTCTGCGTATCACCCATATTATGGGCTCCACGTTATTTATCATGTATCTGTAAAGTCATTCACAGAATTTATTGATTTCTTTTTGTTCACATGTTCATTGAGGTTTTCACAAAAATACAAAGCTGCCAAGAAACCAGATATATATTTCAGTGATTAAAACTAATTTGGAGAACAAAAGTTGGAGGTAGACTCCTTAAAACTTACAAAATTAGTTGGCAATATTGTCGTATAAAGTCGTCCCACTGTTTATCTGTCATGACGTCGTTCAGGTCAACGTCGCTGTCCAGGAATTCGTGATTCACGTCTCTTAGGTAGTTTTCCACGATGTCCGAGGCGGTCCGTATCAGTGAGACCGACAGGATGGGGTTGGTTTTCCTCTTGGCTTTGCTCTGCGCCGGCTTGTTGCCCACTTTGGACTGGGATCTGGGCGAGTTGGTGGAAGAGTCCTCCAAGTCCGACTTGGCCGCCTCCTCATCGGGAATGTCTTCATTGTCGTCCATGGGCACATCCAGCTCGCCGCTGTGCCGTTGCACCACCCACTTCAGGATGCTGCAGGCCGCTGTCAGCCGGTAGTCGTCTGGAGTCAGGGAGGACAGATTGACAAATCTTCGAAAAATCTCAAGTACTGTCTATTTTTACACAACTCAGTCTATATGGACTGCATACCCAACCAACAAAGTTAACAAATAATGACAAAATTAAGCAAATTGGTATTGCAGGCAAAATGAACTTTGGGCGAAATGTTTGGTTGTAATGCTGTAAGGAAAGGAACATCACATTCACTTGAATACCTTCTGACATGACATATGGTTCAATGAACTTTGTTACAATTGCAGCTTTCTGAGTGAAAACGTGAAAGAATGAGGATTTATAGTGCAAATGTTAGGCATGACTGGTCAATGTGCACAATTGCAAAGATCTCCACGCGATCTGTTGATCTTATTTGATGATTTGCCACTAGCACTGCCGTCGCCAGTGGTCTTTTCTTTCTAAATGGCTGTTATGGAAGATTGTTTCAAGAAAGGATTGATTGATGGTGCCACACTATTGCATGACCACATTGACTGTCCCATTGCACAGAACATAAATACATGAAATACATGTCAAAATTTTGAAACACCTCAAAGAGACACTGCCAAGCACTGCCAGATTCCTACACTAGTTCTGCTTGACCAAAAGTGTGAGAAATTTATTCGAAAAAGGCTACAGGAAGGCACTAAGCTTCCACTCTAGTGTACATCGGCAAAAGCAAATTCAGTCCCCAGTTAGTGCCCATAACTAGTATTTGAAAGCCTTTTTATCAAGTCAAAATAAAATTGCTTCCTCACGTAGAAATGTCTTCTTCTCCTCCTCTATGCAGATTTTGTAGCTGCGAGGGTAGAAGGTGTCTGCGTCCAAATCTTCGTACCACTTCAGGTTCCGCAGGTGTGTGCAGAGACCACTCTGAAACCATCCCCCAAAACCAAGCTGATTAGATTTGGTACAATGTAACCACTTTTTCTCTGGAAGCCTTTTTGTTTCATAATAACTAATCCAAATCTCCCCAGCAAGGAAAAGATACGACAGCAAATGTTTTGATAGTTTCTAGCTCATTTTTGCCTTTAGGGCATAAGTTTTAGCAATATTTTTCTGCTAAGCAAATAAAGTACAATCGGCCAGGGTTGGTTTGCAACCAGTACATGTATATGATTACAATGTTCAAAGTGAGGTTATAGTAAAGAAAAAAGGACTCAGACTGCAAATGTTTAATTACAAATTTTAACAATGAGCTGGTTCACGGCAACCATTCTTTTTCAACAGCAGGTCAGCTACATCCACTTTATTTTAAATTACAAGCGCAGACTAGCTGATTGTTCTGCTATAGAAAAGGAACGGTTGACAGGAAAAGATAAAGTCTTCAAACTCGAAATTTAAATCATGAATACTGTCCAACTGCATGAAACCTATCGACACAACTGTTAATAGCTACAGTTGTGTGGCACCAGCGTTGGACTTTTGGCAATGCTGGCGTCTCACCTTGGTGGTAAATGCTCCGTTTTTGGCAAAGTGGTTGACTATCGTCTCTTTCCGTAGGAACCTGAAGTTGATAGTATCTCTCCGACACGTCCAGATGAAGAAAGGATCATTGTTTCGGACCATTCTTGACTGTTGGCAGATGAAGAAGAAAACACAAGTAGGGTTCCACTGCTTCAATACCTTCACCCACTTATAATCTTGAAGTCTCAATGAATAAATTATATTCAGTTACACTTAAACAAAGTTGTATGGTGGTGTTGGTATGAGTTGTGGAAATAGGTGGGGGGGGGAGTGGACTAGGGGAAATGACATAGTAAACAGAACAAACCATCATGCCATAGATGTCATCTGAGTCGCCAAGTGGACTGTCCTCGTCGTCACTGTCTGGGGTTGCACCAGCGTCTGGGGTGTCGTTGTTGTCATCTATTTGACAAAGAAAGAAAGCAATTTTAAATGTTTGTGATGTCACTGTTGGACTCCTCAATGGAGTCTTCAGGTCGAAATGGAGAGTTGTGTGAAGGAAGAAGTAGTTTTTCAGGGTGAGATTGGGATATGGATATAAAGCCATGAAATACATAGAGAAGGGGTGTAACCATGGCGATAAGAATACAGAGATTTTGGGGGGCTTTTAATAGCTAATAGCTCTCTCCTCAACAGCTTGGATTATGCAAATCCTGCAACAGGTTTATGGATAGAGTGTAAAAAAAGTTAAAAACCTGAATGCTTTTCCTTGTAATATCCAGAGTTTTTTGTGTCACAGATCCTGAAACCCAGAAAAATCCTGAGCTATCGCACTCCTGGTTTTTCAACGCTCTACTGCAAGGATCATGTGCTATAAACCTCCACAGTAGATTCACATTCACCTGTTGCACTCCTTGCTAGATGCGTTCTCATATGCAGCAAGGTATGAGACGGAGAGAACCCCCCCTGCTTTGTGTTGGTCATTGTCTCGCAGGAATCTGGAGATTCCTTTCAGACATCTTGGGGGGATGTGTTTAAGTAACAATAGTCTGGAATGTGTATAGGGATTGGACATGTTGGGGGGTTGCCCCTCGGTCTCATTTCTTGCTGGGTATATGCGTTCTGCACAATAAACGTGAATTTCAAATTCATAATAGTGACTGTTAAAAATGAAATGGTGGATGACTCAATTTCTTGAGTGGAATCAAAATCCTATGGACAACGGTGGTGACTTACCGTCATCATCGTCATTGTCACTGTCATCGGTGTCATTGTCATCGCTGCCTTGCTTCCTCTTGACTTTGTGCGGGGGCATGGCTCGGTACTGCTTCTCCACCCAGTCTCGAGACCGCAGGCACTCTCTCACCACGGGGTAAGGGCCCTGGATCATGAAGATCTTCTTCCACTATTGAGAAAAAAAAAACCATAATTTGTAACCGGGCTAATTCATGTCTCAGACCTTCGCAAAAGTTTGGCAGGCTACGACTTTGTGCACACAATGCAAACCTTATGAAAACTTCACAGAATCTGCCCACATTATGAGGACATACCAAGAAATTGATTGAAGTGGGATTCGAATCTGTGACCTCTACGGACTGAACTATCAAGCTTTTATGCCCACGGTTAAAATCTAAATCCACACGTATACTACCAATCCATGACAATCTTACTGACAAATACAGTTGGCATACTGTGCATAATATGAACATGTTCATGTACACGACTGTATTTGCAGCAAGGAGTTGTGTCAATCAATGCACAACCAAAAATCACCTTGTAAAAATACAAGAGAAAGAATTATCAGAGACACAATGGGTTCACCTGTGAACGTTTTTCAGATATATATCCCCGTGATAACTACTATTTAGACAACATATCACCCACAGAGGAAGGTTAAGTTCATCTTCTATTGTTAAATTAAAAAAAGTACTTTCCTCAAGCAAGTTGGTATTTATGCCTGATTCAGGCAAAAGACAAAGTCTGGAATGTTGGGGGGGAACGGTGGTGGGTCAGGTGTCCAAACTTGTCTGAAATTATTGGCTGATAAAGTTGTGCACTTCCACAAATTTGAAGCATTATCGCCCACCTTCATGGCCCGTTCCGCAGTCAGCTTGGCTAGCCTGAGTCTCTCTCCACTCTGCGCTACCGTCCTGGAGACCAAGCTCTTTGTTTTATTGCGAGGGGAAGAGCCAGGCTCAGGGGACGTGACCGTCTTGCTTCTCTGATGATTGGTGGCTTGGGGGCTCGTCGACTCTAATGGTTCGCTACTGGCACCTGATCCAATCAGAATAAAACACAAAATAATACCAAAACATGTCTATCACCCCCAAAGAAGCAAACGGTCCACAGAAACTTTGAAGACTGCCCTCTCTGTTCAAATTTTGCGGCACCTGAGTTCTGCTTCCTTGCTCTCCTCGTATTTTCAGTTCACCCAAATGCAGGTTTATTAAAATACATAACAATGGAACAAGTTGGGCAATGCCTGCCCCTGTCCCTTCGTATTCCTGTATTCTAATGGACTTAAATCAGCCACTGAATCCACCAACGTACTATTTTAACAGTTAGCAACTATACAGTGTAAATGAACAGCATTAAGGATTTCACATCATGAACTGAAAATATACCAAAACATGATGATTTTAAGCACCCAACATGCCCAAGTACATGTACACATATGTAGACAGTTATTTCTGTCACCCCTCTCAGTTATCATGGTTGGTTACTTAAAAATACATGTATTTGGTGTGAAGGTGTAGACATGAATTTTGCGAATCCAAACAGGCGATGAATTTGCACCGAGTATTATTGAGAGAATACCCTCTGTTTATGCATGCTGGTTTTTTTTCTGTGGAAGAAAGAAGATGAGTCCTTACCATCGACCGGATGCGTTGCACTCCTTTTGTGCATTCCGAAACTTTTAGGTTTTGGTAGGGCCTTCTGTCGCTTTAACACCAAGTTGGCCCCACTCTGGGTGTACGGTCCTGCCAAAAAGGAAACGACATGATGGAATTTGTCAGCTATTCTAGCTGCTAAGACGTTGTGAATATCCTTGAACAGTCTTTGATGGGGAGCAACAAAGGCACAGCTGAAACAGTCACCCAACTCCCTCTCTCCTCTTGGCCAGCGAGGGGGTACTTCAGATATCAAAGCTGTTACCCAGGAATTCTCAAAGGTCATGCACAGGTTGGTCAATAGTGGTCATCGTAATTCAAGACCCGTTCCTTCTTCAGGCAAATAGGAGTTGGAATGAGATCAGCTTTGCAAATTCACAGTGCGAATATTTGATCTGAAGTAAAAAACAAAATGGCATCACGGTTGACTTCCATTTTTGTTTTTAATTTTTAAATGGATGTTGTATCGTTTTGCGAGTCAGAAATACATGTAAGCCTCACCTTCTTGCAGCCTCTGCAGTTGCACTGACGCCTGAGGGAGCCCCCGGCCGGCCCTCACGGGGCTCAGGGGAGTGGTCAGGTGTAGGGAGATGGAGCCGCCCACCCCGAGCCGGTTGTTGCTGTTGGCAATGTCCGCTGCCGGCCTGTTCTCGTTGAGATTGGGGGTGGAGGTCGGGGTGCCCCAAGCGGTCTGGGAACTTTCTGCATTCTGTGAGAAGAGCAGAAGGGAGAACAAAACAGGTCAATTTTTCAATAAACATGATTAAACTGAGAGATTAATAAAAACAGACAAATATATATCCTCCTTCCCTGCCCCTTTGAAACGTCCCTGAAACGCTCGTACACACCTCCTTGTCCTTCAGTGTAGCAGTACTCTTCTTGGTCTTGAGGGTGGAGACTGGGCTTAACCGCCCCTTGTAGGGTATTTGGTGTCGTTGCTCCAGCTGTGGACGAGAAAGACCGGACACAATTGGGCCATGAAAAAGCTCTAGAACCGTCGTAAAAAAGATCTTCCAAAATCAGTCACTATATGCAGGAAACAAATGCACATTTCTTATACATAAGCTAAAAACTGTCATGAAAATCAACCTCGGCCCCACATACCGGTACATGCCGGTACTTGAGTACATATGTATCACGCTGGACTGTGCACGTGCACGTTTGACTGATATCTGACAGAGATCATGTCCTTGCAAACTGAACAGATTGTTTTGAATTCCTATTATTTCTTGCGTGTAATGAACTTCATAAGTCAGACCTGTTTGTTTTTCTATGTAGTGTGTTAAATATTATGCTTTTTGTTTGTTTTTATTTTTTATGGGGGGCATTCCGAGATATGATATCAATTAAATCACTCAGTTACTGAATTAAACTTTGTTTTACCAATGCCCAAATTACATGCATGACGTGTACACAAACTGCCACATACTTACATGTACGTTAACCTTCTAGTACATGTACATGCCTTTTCCACAATACGTGTACAGGTATTCATGTGTACCCCCACGTGCCGGTGTATTACTAAAACAATTCCTAAGTTTACTGACAAAACAGTATGAGAACCACCATGCTCAGGAATCTGTAAAGAGGTTTGAAAATGTGTCACCTGTTATGGCTGAAAGCTTGCAGAAAGTACATATGTACATGTAGTCACTGTATGATATTTGTTTCATGTACATGTACATTGTAGGCCTATAATGTTCATGTACTCGACTGACACTGTGCCATAGTTGTTAACAAAGGGAAAAAAGGATCGAACTACTGTCTGCCTTTCCCATACCATAGCAACTATGAACAACAAATCAATTCCTTTGTTTCACCATATTAGTAACGCATCAACTGGGCTCCTTTGTGTCATATCACTCAAAGTACAAGTACCGCTCCGGCCTGGGACAGATGTACATTTATTAAGTTTGTAGGATTACATGTCCCTATGCCGGCGTATGGGAATCCTATACATGTAATGTATGTATGATTGGCCAATTACAGTAAACATGCTCATCAATTGTTATACATTGTTATAGCGACATACCGGTAATTAGAAGCAGTTAGGTCTTTTCTTAGCTTTGACAGCTGCAGCTACAGGGCAGCTACACTGTACTATAAACAGTGTTGAAATGTTCCATGTCTGTCAGAAACTCGGCATTGGCCCACAGGTACAAGTTCATTTCAATTCTATCCAGCATTTTTTTGTTGTTGTAAATTTACCAGTTTCACACGCACTCACACGCACACTTTTATGGCTGCCCTGTCTGAGATGAATTGTTTTGTGAGAACGGCACATCTAATTTTCATTGGATGGGTGTAGAAATGATTGCAAGGCAGTACTGGAAAAACTCACAAACTCTTGGCACAAAAAATGCATACATGTAACAACAAGATCAAAGAACGTCCCTGCTCTGTGGTCGGAGGAGGGCAGATTCCGTCCCCCACTCTCTCAGGATAACAGAATCTCTGTCCCACTCTACTCCCTCATCCTGGGCTAGCATAAGGTTCTCCTTACCCTGACCTGTGCAAAACTAGCCATAAATCACAATGAGCACGGCCAGTATTTATCTTTCCCTTTTTCTATAGACTGACCAACTGCACAGGGGGTAGGAACACAATGGGCATGTACATGTATTTCGTTTTTTTCATGGCACACACGTACTAAACTAGTACTAGGTACTCGTACATGTAGGTACTAGGTACTTCTTCGTCGTCGTATGCTAAATTTGCTTCCCCTGTACGTGTGGCATTGCATACACGTGCAACATGTACGTGTCCCGGTGTTTACATGACGTCCCTCAGTCCCCGTATCTTTTCTCCCCTTTCTGGGTAATTCCCACATGCACATCTATACTGCTCATGTAACGTGTATGTGCAGTACGAGTACGTAGGGTACATGTATTGTGCAATTTCAACTGTACTTTGTAGCCTTTAGCAGTTTTTGGTGTCTTCACGCCAAGCCAGAAAATGAAACAAGCCCGGATCCTTTTCAATACATGTACATGTAGCTCCGTGCTGATGCTGCATGAAGCAAGGACTTGCAGTAGAGCAGAATTTTTCTCAAAATCAAATTATGTTAATCAGTAACAGAAAGCTTCTGGTCCCTCTATAGTATGAACTCTATCAAAAGAATATAGAAAACAAATTTACTGTGCTATCTAAGTTCCCTGGGTGTTTTTGACACTAACTCAGTGTTTCAATTGAATATAACGGGTCAAAGTCAACTGTGGCTAAACTTAGGGGTATACATGTAAAAGAAAGGGCCAGGGGACCCTGGCAGAGCCATGCAAACAGCTTAATCTGAATTCAATCTACCCAAAGTTTACTCAGGACCCCAAGCAGAGCTATCAATTTCAGAGTCTATGAGCTGACAGTTATAAAGGTGTGAAAATTTTACACTGGGTGAAACGTGGCTGATTATTTTTACACCTTCAATTTTCTTTTCTCACATTCTGAAACACTCTGATACTGTGACTTTATTGGACTTATACACAGTTGACACAATGGCTGAAATAAGGGGGAATGTCGTAATTTTCAGAATATAAGCCACGGCTTATATGTTGATTCTCGCACTGAAAAATGTCCCTGTGGCTTATATACCCCAGGCGGCTTACATGTGCATGTATACAGCAACATTTGAAGAATGAAATCAGTCACTCAACGCCATGCCGTGCCTCAGCGCAGCCTAGCCCAAGCCGCTGGCTGGCCAAGCCACACGTGCATGATATGCGGCACTCTGGGGACAAGGCAGAATGTGTTTTCATGCCTTCAATTTTTTTTGACTCATTCTGGGAAACCTCGATACTGAGACTTCATTTTTTGACTTTATAGTCTGACTTAGTGTGAATGAATTAAAGTGCCATCCACAGCTGTTAAGTACATGTACATTATCATAAAATGTTAACTCATTTGTTCCCTTTTTATTCCCCCTGTTCTGTCATTAAATTCCACTAATTGCTCAGAGGTTGGGTCTTTGGTTTGGTTAAATGTATGATAAATGTCCTTAAAATGTACACTGACCACGAGTTTACTTTTAAACACCTATTTTGTTTGTATCTTCAAATGCGACCCATTCCAAAAAACTTCAGCACAAAGAACTGACTGTATCTACAAAACGAAATTGATTTTTTTTAAAATATGTTTGAATTGTCCAGTTGATTTAGCTCCATTAATTCATAATTTGCATCATTTCCAGTCCTTTACAATCCAATAAAAAGGGATATACATGTATCCCTATCATTGCCCAATCTATCCACTGGCATTTCAATTTTAAAAATTTAGAAAATTTGTGCTACTCTGCCCGGGAACAAGTCAAAAATATTTACAATTTGCCTAAACACTGTTTACTCATGAATAATCAATAAGTGAAGAATAAAAATGAGGAATATTTTGTCAGTGAAATTAATTTGGCTTTGGGGATTTAATTTTTATACCAAATTCTGCCCTTACACCTTAGTGTGACCGTGCGAGTTGTGAGTGAATCACAAGCTTGCTCAGGTGGGATTTGAACCCATAACTTCCTGCTGGCTAATGCAGACGTTAGACACGTGTTTGATGGGATCAGGTGGCTGGCTCAAATACAATCATGACATGTACCCTACATGTACATTGTACATGTATACACATACATGTATACGCAGTCAATAACTTGGACACCACTGAGAATACAGGAAAGGGGAATACTTTGGTTTTCTGATGTAATTTACATGTTTTTGAAGGCCTCAAGGGCCAGGTATGGTGTACATGTACATTAAATACAAAACAGCTGGCCTATATACATGTACCTTTTTTCTAAATTTGCTTTTTTAAATGTTTCCATGTGTACAAATGTACATGATTGTACTGTACCGGTACGTGTGCTATATGCACTTGCCTGCATGCAGTGTGACTCAAGTTTTGTCTGCATCAAGCACAATTAAAATTGTCACAAAGTAAACTTTGAAGATCTGAAAAGAACATGCAAAACCTGTTCCATTATTTGTTTACACCTAAATGCTATCAAAATAACATGTACCGTACCTAATCATTTCAGAACGAAAACCAAAAAATTCATCAGTTTACTGTAAGAAAGGGGCTGGAGTAAGTTGGAGGGTTTCAAAATTTTGAGTTGAAGTTTGATAAACCGTACATGTACTGCACCTCACAATGTTGGCATTTCAACATTACACTGAGAGAATTGATCTACCCTACTTAAGGGGAAACTTCATAAAAAGTACATGTACGTCTGCTATATACGGTACACCTACATGTACATGTACGTGTGCATGTAACTGCCGTCACATGCAAACAAGCCCGACACACAGCGAGGATCATAACTTAACCATGATCACTGTCAATGGCCTGACAACGGCTTACCAAAGGGAACAATTACCTTGCCATTCACTGGACTGCCATTCATGAGCAATCAAGTGTGAAAATGTGATGGATTATTCATTCCCCTCCTGTCACATACGGTAATAGCACATAATGCACGTCTGTTTCACGGCAGCATTTATTATTCAGAATATAGTTCCCTACGACAGATGAAATATCCGGATCTTAAATGGATTGTAGATGACATGTGTACAAATACCCATGTCCAAGACAACTGAGGTACCTGTACATGTAGGCCTATAATTTACAATTACACAGTAACTGCATCCAGGCCCACTGCATGGGGATCTTAATTTAAAAAGCTAACATCTTTATCATAGCCAATGCAAACCATCTGTACACTTTAATGGCCAATTAACTTATCAAGTAATAAAACCTGCAAACATCAAATCTGCCCATGCCACAGCCCCATAAATGGGGCCGAGGCACTGGACTGCCGATTTTGGGTCAACTCTTACCCTGTCAACTCGTACCTCAGTCAACTCGTACCCCGCTCAACTCATGCCCCGCTCAACTCATATCCTAGTTAATTCGTACCCTGGTCAACTCGTACCCATGTTGGAGCCATGTAGAATGTAACCAGTCCTCTACACCTGAAGAACCCGACAACACCCCGTATATTCTCCTTTCACTTTTGGATGAACAAATCCATTCCAACTATTTGTGCAAAAATAAAATATCATACTCAGAGAGACGGTAACCACTTTTCCATGTAGTGAGTGCCTTTCAAGTCACTATTAAAACCATACCTGGACGAATTCATATTGAATTATGCAGCCGATGAGTCCCTGAAGGGATGATAATGCATTCCTACTATTTTCTCAGCTAAAATTCGACTCAACCCATCGTTTAGGTAATATAGTTCTGGTCTCCAGCAGTTTTATTTCTTTCTATTATTTCGACCCTCCCCAGGCTCCACTGATGTCTCCACGTAGAAATATAAATCACACAATGACACACCTCATATAAACATGTTTTTTTCGAAAGCACCCAAAGTTTATTTGTAAAATTGGTCTATGAGAGAGTGTCTCTGAATGGGATAGAGCCATCACTTCTCATCCCGAGTTTATTTGACTTCTTTAAATGCATCATAAACATGGTTGGCGTAATGCGACAGTGTAGTCAGACACCACTTTAAGTCCTACTTCCTAAATACGGTGGGGATTTTTCAACAAAATCTGAGCGATGAAAGGAACTCTGTACATAAGCTACATTTGCATTCAATTGCGAGCATCAAAACCTGTATTATACTCTGCATATTCTCTGCAGAATGGGCCTAGGGAGTACGAGTTGACTCAGGTACGAGTTAAATTGGGTGCATATGTTTGGGTATGAGTTAACCGGGGTACAAGTTAACTTGGGTATGAGTTGTGGGGTTCGACGTCCGCACCTCTCCCACGAACGTTCGTGGGAGAGGAGTGGTCGTCGGACCCCACAGTTCTGAGGGCATACTAGTACTACTAGGCTTAATTGTAGGCTAACTGATTTTTGTTTTGTACTAAGTTCTAGGCCTATGCCCTCAAAAAAGGGTTGGACTATTTTAAAACTGGTGCTATGTGCTGGATATGACCTATAGGATGCAAGAGCCATTGGTTACAATTTGCAAGCAAAGTGACTGCGTGAAATGAAAGAATCTCACAAGACGATCAACAGAAACTGAAGATGATTTACAGAAACCAATTCACTATCGTGAGCAGTAAATCACCTTTTTTCTTTGTTTCTCCAGGTGCTGCTCCTGCCGAATCATGAATGTCGTCCCTAAAGCCTCGGCAATCTTGAGACTCGCTGAGCTCATCTGAGGCTTAAAGGTGAACTCATCCTGGCAGTGTTGCTGGACAGCGGCTAGGCGTGTGGCCCGGGCCCGCTGCAGCAGGCCAGACCGGGACTGCCTGCTCTGCGCCAACCGGAGGCTGGTGGTGTTCAGCTTCGGTGCGTAGGTTAAGTCCGACTCGATGGAGAAACGGTGGTTGGGGATCGCCAGGTCGTTAACAGAGGACGACACCCCGTTGCTGATGTCGTGACCCTCATCTTTCGGTGCCGTGGTGGTGGTGGAGACGGTGGTGTCGGTCGCAGATGGAGGGTTTAAGTTGTCGATTTCACCTGGCATGGGAACAAGTTTCACCAGACTGTGGCTGATCCCCGCTGGAGATTCCACCTGCAGCATATCCTCCTCTGCCACCCTCGGGGTATTTTTTTTCCTGACTGGAAAAAAAAGACTTAAATTGGCTACTTAAATAATGGTTTACATCTTGCTCGCTTAACTTTAGTTTAATTGGAGTTTGATCATCGTTAAATTTTGATGAGCGATGCCCAGATCTACACGTACGCTTGTGTTTTTACTGGCAGCTAATCCCCATGTTGTTATCTCCATGGACGCACGCTATTTCTGTGTCATGTAAATAACCTCTTGCCACTGGTACACAGCCAACGCATCATCATAATCGGAAAAAAGGCGCCGGATACCAGTACAATTAAATCAAGGCACAGGGTGGCGCTGTTGTGCACATTATTTTATTATTTTGTGCACCCTAAAAATAAATTCCCATAGACACTAATGATAAACCCTTTTATTTCAAAGTTGTTTTTAAAATACTCACAACTCTCAATGGTGTTCAAGCTGGACAGCGAAATGACAAAAGGATGTTTGAAATGTCCTCTTTCATTTTACTCTCAATTTTTAGTTGGTTGACCAATGAATTTTTGAGAGAAGACCGTCCCTATAAGAGGGAGGAAATTTCACTGCCTGGAAAAGTAGCCATTTTGAAAATGCATTCCTCTACAAAACGGCTAAGTAGTGCCATTTCCGGACCCCATTCTATCCAAATTGCTCAGAATTGGAAGCCCTGAGTCTGGGCCAGAGTTTCAGTGCAATATTCCTTCAATTCCTCAATTCCATGGCTCTCAGGACTCTCAAGTATAGAATATTTTGAGCGTATGACTTTTATTAATAAGCTCGGCGGACATGTTTCTGGCCTATTTGCGTAATTGCACCCTTATTATTTCTGTTTAATTTCTGTTTATTTTTAACCACAAACATCTATAAACGATATTTCGTTTATCTTATACGTTTAAATCTTAGAGTCCTGCAGAAAACAGATTGAACGCTTTGCCATAGTTTCCTGCTTTGAGAGAAAAAAAAACAGGTGTCACTATGGAACCTCCATACACTTATGTAAACGTATTCAAGAAAAGGCCTAAATGCTTTAGGCATCGTTTTCTGTATTCAGCCCCTCCTTGTTTTGTCCCTCTTTATGCTACAAAGTTCCTTATGCTTTCCATTGTTTGCATGCCATTCCGCGTGTTTTATGCTTGTACTCCATTTAAAGCACTACAGCTGGATTTCTAGATGTTTTCTCACAATTAATCCATCATTTTTGTGTGCGTCTGGCGTTCAGAGGTAGGGAAGTTGAGGCTAAATACTGGGTAAGCAAGTGAACTATTGAGGGGGGGGGTAGAAATTTCAGCGTCACGGGAGAAGGGGCAATTACTTTTTGCAGATATTTTTGCAGTAATTAGTGCAGTACGATTTTCATCCCACTGAACGATCAAGTATTGTCAAGGAGAAAGTTTAGGTTGAAGTTATCTCAATTAAATTATATGTGTAAAATTCATTCGGTGCATTTCGTTCGTTTCACCCTTTCATTAAGCGAGGACGCCGATTACTGCGCACGTTCTCTATATTCTTTGCTATATTATTGATTTTTTTTACTGTAAACTTGACCATTAAGAATGACATGAATCAGTTCTCCGGAGTAAAGACTAAAACTGTCTGCTCAGTTCAATACACACTTGAAAGTGGATTGAAGTTCATCAAAGCAGATTCCTGGAAATAAGTCAATGAATAATTAATTATTAACATTAATAATTAATAAACATTAATAATAATCATAATATCAATAATAGTGTATTGATGCATTTTTGTCGTTCAACGTCTGTTTGTTTTTTATTTCGTTTAAACACACTTTTGGGTTCCTAGTAAGCTACAAAAGGAAGAATTAAAATGTCGAACGAATGAGTTCCTACATGGCAATGACTCTGAAGTCTGAAGGGATCTCAGCTTACACCTAGCTCCGGCGTTCTGTTTCCATGGATGCGAAAAATGAAATCGGTATCGAAGTTGTCAAATGCGAGAATCCCTAGAATACCGTTCAACTGTGGGCATTACATTATGGCATCAATGGAAAAACTTTTTCTTACTCTCTTCTCATACACATAGTTATCTCAAATAGTTAAAACCGGGTGTTATTACTCATTCTGCCCGAGCAGGTCACATTTTGTCTGTCTTGTGCGCACTCACACCATAACTGTGCATGTCTTGTGCGCAGTACTTGAAAACTCACGAGAATGCCCGAGACCGCGAGGAGTCCATCCAGATTAAATTCACTTGCCATCGCCCATGACGAAAACACCCTCATCTGAATTTACATCTGAATTCCGTTCATCTCCCAAGAATGCAATCCATTTTTGACCCAGGTCTTAGGCAAGCCTACCTAGGAATCCATTACATCAAAAGATATAGGAAAGTCCTCGTCTATTTGAAGACACACTGACAACAGACGTATAGCCGTAGCGCTGAAAGTTCGCTTCAGACACTACAATTACGGATACCCCATTACGTAACCTTCTCTGATGACCCAAAACGAGGGAGATTCTTGGATCTTGGATAGGCAGTTTCTGTTGAGCCTGGGCACAGCTGTAGCTCACAGCTAAACCTAAGGGTGTGGTTCGCTGGTTCGACGTAGAACGGTCCAACGCTATGAGTTTGATGTGTTGAGCTGTGGATGGCTGCAGAAAGGAGAACCTCAAAGGGACAGTGCAGATTTGTAAGCTTACATTAAAATGAATTTCCTCTTCGGTATTAATGATCAACGAAACCACCTCCGAAGTAACATAATAGAGGGATACTGGAAAGAACTTTTGGGCTCACTTGTCCCACTGTCAACCGTGACTTTCTGGAACAGTTCATTGGCATTGGACTACTGCACTGTCATGAGCACTAATAGGGTTCTTACAATGAAATGATTTTTACTAACTTGGCTTGAAAATGCAGCTTTTACGTTTCAGTCAACCCTGTTTTCTGTGTTGTCAAATTGCCATTTGGCGTGTATTTTGTTGCCTTTTATGCTTGTGTAAAGTTCAGTAAGCCTGTTCAGGGCAAAGCTGTGATGTTATCCTAGGCAGTGATCCTTTAGCGTTACCTAGTGCCCACAAAAACTTGATTGTTTTGTATTCTCGTACTTTGCGTTCAATGTCCATTTCGTTTGGTGATTTATTGTTGGGTAAGCTCATGTTATGAGCCAACCAGCAGCTTCGTCTCAGAATTACTTTCAAAAAGCAAATTTTGGTTCCAAATTACAAACATTATAAACTGCGAAGCGTCGTCCCTAATTTACGTCACTGCGACAGCGCCTCAACTTTTCCAAAATTTGTTTTGGTATATCTAAATGTTTAACCCAAACAGGGCTACGATCTTCCAACTTCAATATAATTTTATACAAGTTTTCAGACAGAAGCACAGAAAGTGTGTCTAAGAAAAATTCATCGCATTGACTCTTTATTTTTTTTTCCTTTGAATGACAGACAGAGCAAAAATGGTGAGCTCATTCCTGCGAATCGGACTGGATGTATTCCTGTTGTTTCTCTTCGCTACCAAGACTGACGGATTGTCCACCTTCCACCAAGATGTAGCCTTCTCCTACATCGACACGGACGACGTCGTCACTTTACCCACCAACACCTACGATGATCCTCCGCTGTTGGAGCGCCGGGGCACGGGTTCCGTGTTCGATGCCACCATTCCCGGCACCTACGTCTTCACCTTCCAAGCCCCAGGGAAAAACGTCGCCAGCCCGGCGCCTGTGAACGCGACCAACTACCGGCTGGTCAAGCTCTCAGGTACTCCGCCTTCGGCCGACCTGGTGCTGCGCCTGACCGCCGACGGCCCGGTGTCCGGCCACGTCATGGTGGAGTTGGATGCCCTCGACTCCTTCCAAATAGAGACTTACGCCAGAACTGTCATGCCCGTTGCAAACACCACCGCCCCTGTGATATTTAACGGCTTCCTTCTGTACCGTGAGTGTACCAAATTCCTCCTAACCCCACTTTCAGCGACATAAACCCACAATAGTTGTATGCGCCTAGCTCAGAAACCTGAAACAAATGCATAAATTAAATTATAAGTAAACAGGCCGTCTGAGCATAGAGATTGATTTATTTAGTATCTTGCCAATTAGGATGTTTATGTCACCACGAAGCCTTTGCGTCTGTATCACTGTTTTTTTCCAATACGGATTACATCTTTGTCTGAGACAGGCACTGTGAACGTATCACTCCTTTTGTTTTCCCCACTTCAGATCGATGCCTCTGTTCCCCGCTCGTTCTCCGTCGGTCATCCTTTTCTGCCTCCCGCGATACCGATGTGGCCGCCGGTACAGCTGCAATCCATGACTTCGACGAAGTCTTCAACATAGGCGACGAGTTTGACGAGCTTCGTGGCATCTTCACGGCCAGCCTCCCCGGTATTTACGTCTTCATGTACTCCTTTCCCAACCAAGGAGTAGGCAGGTCCGGCACGGTCACCGTCAGCTTGACACTCAACGACGCCGTGAAAAGCAGCGCTTCCTCGGTCAGCTCGACCGCTCCGACTTCGCAGTATTCTGGTGCCACAGTCGTGCTGGACCTCGTAGAGGGTGACCAGGTTAGACTCAGAAAAGTTGGCGGTCTCATCTCAATACCAACAGTCATTGATGGAGGAATTCCTGTGAAAGTGTCACCGATATTGTTTTCGGGGTTTCTTTTGTAAAGTTCGCCACACCAGCCAAATATCTCGGTAATAAGCATATCAAATAATTATTGTACTACTGAACCACTCAATAATTATTGATTGATTGATTTTTTTTTGGGGGGGGGGGCAAAATGACCCTTTTTCGTTCAATTTTTGTTTCTTAAACTGAGGTTCGTGCCTCAACTCTCGTGAACTGTTGACTTGAAACCGCACAAGTGATAAATTTAATAGACATTTTGTTTATATTGAAACTTTCTTCCGACGAATTTAAAACGTTTGTTAAATTATTAGATTTTGAGTAAGGCAAGTTGTATGAAGATTCGAATAAATCTTGTTGGAGTACCAAATGTTTGCTATGTGTAAATGCCTGCCAGCAGAGTATACATAATGGCATGGAAAACGATGTAAGATATGATTTCGAGTAGACAACTGATACCTAGCCACGCCGAGGTTTTCTTCATGAAGGAGGTGGCGCGGATGGGATTTATTGACCAATGGCAGCATACCGAGGTTCGTATGGGGACGGGTTTTTTTTAAACAAGCAATGGTCCAAATAGTCTTCATCCGTCAAATAATCCTCATCCTTCAGAAAGGTGCCGTTTCGAAATCGTAACCTTTGTAAAAGGTAGTTTCTTTAAATTTGTAAAAAAAAAAATTATAGGCTACAGAAGGTAACATGCAGATAACAAAATGCATTGCCTCCTACCTAGCCCTGCTGGATACACCAATTCTGTCCATACGGTTATTGTCAAGAGTTCATATTCAAGGGTGCTTTCATGAAAACGGATATTTTTTCTGAAACAAGAAGCAATTTCATGTGCTTGACTCATGTAGGCATTGTCATCAAAATGATGATGTAGGAAACATCGGCGTCGCCAGGCTTTTTCCAGTGAGCCAAACCACTTTTCCGGGGGGAGGGGGTCCAGGAGGGAAAGCGCTAGTCAACTACGATAAACCATTAACAGTGGGGGGGGTCAATTTGAAGTTTCTCTCAAGAAGACTGTGGATTTTCAACCCCCCCCCCCTTTGCATACCCGTTTTTCCCACTCATTGTAATTTGCATGTTATTTTATTCCTGGGGGAATGCTACCACACCCCTCACTTCGCCCATGATGTGAATTTAATTGCCGCACATTATTAGAATGATGCCTGCCTAAAAGATGTCCCTCTACGGTACGTGGAATTAATTTGTCGTTAGCTGCAAAACCCACTTCAATTCTGCAATACTTGACGCAACTACATTGACAAGCTTCTTCGCTGATGGATACCACGATATGGACTAGGCCTACACGCTGTTGCAGGCGCTTGGAGTTTGTACCCGAACGTGCCGTGTTTACCCATTTGCAACTTACCTCACGATAGTATTGGCCGGAGCAAGACTGATGGCCACATTTACTGAGAAAGGGAACGTTTTCTTATCCGTATTTTCGCAATCTTCTTGAAACTTGAAGCGCCGACTTCCATTAGCACCCTTTCGTGCCAAGTAACTGCTAACACACCGGTTAGCGATAATTATCCAGCTGCAGGAAGCGTGGTGCCCACCAAAGTGTTCAGTCTGCAACCCTTGGCATATTTTCTTTCGCGATGTGATCCATTAACAGTGATCTATCGTTCTCGAGTGTGTTTCTCACTGATGAAGACGATCTCGAACACAGTCAGTGCGATGCTGTCATGGTGAAGGATGTTAGTGGTGTTTCACGCCGCAGAGCGATTGATCACTGTATTTCTACTGTACTGGTGAGCTTCAAATTTCTTTCAGTGTATGTTGCCTTCTTCGTCAAAATAACTTACCTTATTAACATAATCTTCTTCACCTTACCTCGACTATTTTGTCTTCAAAGCAAGCGGTTTTAACTGTTTCCTACAAGGGAAATCACGAATCATACGATTACAGTGCGCTATAAAAGCACGTTGTTCATGCTTGCTTCGGTCATAACACGTTCTTGATTATCTTCCTCAACCTCGCTGTGAGAAAACATTGTACTGCCAACCCAGTGCGTTATCTTGTAAGATTCAAATGGAAAATTCAACGGTCGCATGCGTCAACTTATCTTCAGTTGACGTAGAGACGGACCAGTACGCTCTTTATACCTACAGGATAGTGGATTTAGTTGTGTGCTCTCTACTGTCTGCTATCGGTGCGCTCGGAAATGTTCTGATCTTGCGAGTTTATTGGACCAAGAAACGAAAGACGAGTACACACATACTGATATCTGGGTTGGCCTTGGCAGACCTGTTGGTGTGCTTATCTCTGGTGGGAACCGTCGTCAGGCATACTTACTTTTTTATCAGGAAAGATGAGCCTGCCTTACTGTACCTGCCTGACCACTTTGGCAATGTGTGGACAGGCCTCTCCGTGTGTATTACAGCCTTCATTGCTGTTGACCGGTACGACTGCGTGTGCCGTCCCGCACGGCGGTGGTTCAACACCCGCCGGGCTAAGTTGGTAGTTGCCGTAGCCTTGTTTCCGTGCGTCATCTTAGAAACCCCGCGCGCGGTCGAGACCTTTTGCTCGTGCAGGATATCAAACACGCCTTCACTGATCTTGCTGGCCGCGGGTTTCCTCCTGGCGGTCGGCACGATCGCAGTCTGCTACGGGAAGGTCTTCAATGCGGTCCGCCAGCATACCAAAGTTGGTATCTGCTCAGGACTTGGACGCTCCAGCGTCAACGCCAGGAAAAATACAGCAACGAACGAACTGCCCATAGCCACAATTGCTCATGCGAACGGGAGCCGTGGGAATTCACCAGGGCCTTCTGTTAAACACACGATGCCCTCCCTAGATCCTACACCCCTGCAGCAATGTCGAACGACATCGTGGGCAACCGAGAGTGAAAACACCAGAGCAAACCACAACAAACTGTCCAAGGATGCACAACGGTCCCGACAAGACCGTCTGGGTAAGACGTCAGCCCCGCCAACGAGCGACCGAGTATTCACACAGGTCTCTCGTCAGCGGCCCCCGAGTGGCTCGGTTCTGCTTCAGAGGAAGACCACGCGAATGCTGTTCATCACAAGCGTCGTGTTCGTCGTTACCTGGACCCCGCTGTGGGTCTGCGAGGCGCAGCGACTCCTCTCCGATGGAGACTTGGACAGTTTTATCGGGATAGATATTCTCTTGCGGGACGTCATTTTCGTCAATAATGCAGTTAATCCCGTAATCTACAGCCTCGCAAATAGACGGTTCCGCCAGGAGTTTGTCAATGAACTGCATAAGTGGCCGCTTTCGCTTTGTCGCTTTCAAAACGAAGACTAAACACGTGTCGCGGCTTTATGGCGTACAAAGGCACTTTTTAGTAAGCATTTCAGACTCGCGCATTACGTTTCATCACGAAGTGCAAAGTAGGCCGCCTTACTTCTTCTATGTAGCTGTTGCTAAATGTTGGGAATAATGATCAATACTAAACAGAACACGCACTTCGATAAATATAGAAGCATTACAGAAAGAAGATGACCTTTGGCAAAGATTTACATTTTGATATCCCAGTGACACGTGGGGGACGAAGGGTCATGTGTTTGACAGACAGAAGAAACACTGGAAACGAATGAGAAGAAATCCTGAGTAAAACATTTTTTAAAATATATTCAGCTAGCTGGCTTCGTTATTGCACCGTTGTCAAAGATGACTTTGCAAAGTTTTGCAGATATAATAAAAAAATTGAATAATTTTATAATAACAAAATTCTCAAAGTGCCCATATCGTTATTGAGATAAAAACTTTAGAAATACTGGTAGAGTGAATACTGATGCATGCATTGAAGACTCCCATTTAAGTATTGAAAATTTAAGGAGATTTTATTGATATTTCATTTTTTCGTATTTCATGAAAATAGCTTAATGGTCATTGACTTTGGACCTTCAGGGCCAAACAGTTATCCAGGTTTCTCCTCTCAAAGCTCCTCCGCAAATATTTTGCAGAAGTAAAACCCTTTTCCAGTTAAAAGTATAACGAGAGTAAAAAAAAAAATCTGCTAAATTTACCTTACGCTTGTAACACAATTCATGTGGTTACATACAGATGGTGGATTCATATACGGTCGATTTGACAACGTACGTAATAGGCACAGAGCTTTAATGAGAGATTCTTGAAAGGATAAGGTCACATTAATATTGCATTGAAGAAGTTAATTCAAATGTTCATCATGAAGTGTATAGAAATCCTTAGGCACAGCTTTGGGTTTTCAAATAAGTTGAAGTGCACATTTTTCAACAACAAGAAAAGGTCAAATTCTGCTCCTCACAACTGAGAACGTTGTTGGGATGTTACTTTCGGAGCTGTATATATAGAGAGCGTTGCGACATGAGGTTGTATATGACACCATTTTGTTTCCAAAACGGTTGACTATAGAGCTCTGGCCACTTCATGTTTCGCAAGTTTTAAGCCAAAATGGAGTGCGCTAAAATCACCTTTAGCATAGAATTATTTTGATTTTCTGCGTAAATAAATTTAAATCCGACGTAAACTCCCAAAATTGCTGCAAAGTAGGCTCTCAAACAACAATGCGACCAAAACTTTCACACGCAAATGAAAAATTAAAAGCACTTTTTCCCACACCGGGAATCGAACCCGGGCCACGGCGGTGAGAGCGCCGGATCCTCACCACTAGACCAAATGGGATTGTGCTGAATCTAATGACAACCAAAGGTGCAAAGTTATTGCAAAGCGCCAAGATCCGCATCATTATTAGCTATCACGAGACTACAGAACCACTTCCTAGCCCTGTCGAAACTTGTTAGCGCGATTTGATTGCTTTATCACTTCGTCAATTGGCTATGAGAGAACTGGTACAAAATGTGTCTCCTTTTCGCCGGTGACGGGCACATTCATCTTCATGTTGCTGCCAACTGCATTTAACTTCATTCAAAAGTGGGCTCTGTCGAATCGAAAAGCGAGGTGACCCACGTAAAATAAATTCTAAAATTTGTTTTGTGTGTAAAAACTGCAGTCTCTAACTTGAAGGGTCAAAAGTGAGCTGTTCTCAATAATCTATGAGAGTTCAGCTCTTTTGCCTGCACCATTTTTGAGCATATGTATATGGCTAATCTCTGGACAGGTTGTCGTTTCTACTGTACACGTCGCTGTTAAAGATCTGGCAGTTGATTATTATGCCCAGTTCAGTATAGCCTGAGACATTGTCTTTGAACACGTAGATTAAAGTTGTTGTGTCTATTTTCAAGTATGCATGAGCGACCATGCTGGCCTGTATTGGCTCTGGCAATTAATTAGCAGGGGTAAACCACCACAACGGCAGACCCCTGGGCGAAAATGTTCCAATCAGACAAGATTAATTCTAAAGAACAAAATAAATCACTACGGTGAATTATGGCCGGGCAGAGCCAGAGATTTGTAGCGGAAAATGAGCTGAATATTATCTGACTCCACTCAGAAACACAAAAATTTATTCAAAAAAGTGCAATTTCAAGCAGAAAATCATTCACTGCAAGGTGATTAAAGTGTGTAGTTCCTGTATATGCTATTTCAAAGACGATCCCATTTTGGTTTTTTTTCCCCTGAATGAAGCAAAACCTTTGGAAAGACAAAACAGCAGATAAACGATTCATCAGAATTAGCTTTGAAGCACTACGCAAGCTATATAAGAATTATTTTATTAATCCTTTGTTACAAAATATTGCAATATCCAAACTTCTTCAGTAAGATTAAATGCATGCACGTTACTGCTTACATAACGGTGGTAGCTTGCTACACACATCCGGACGCAGAAAAAACATGAAGCATGCAAACAGGACGGTGATAAATGAGAAACGACTTATGTCGGAAAAACCCTTACCTCAAGGAACACTTTAAAGAAAGTCTTTATAAAAGAATCAAGTCAGCCTCGAGCGTGAACTGTATTTATGGTGCATTAATCTTTACAAGGCAAAGATAACCGCGACAAATTATTTCTAAATGAACACTTTGTCCAACGAAATCTTCCTGTCGAATTCAACCCGACCTATACACCCAAATATACATACAACTGAACTCAGCTAACAATTAAAGCAACTCATTTAATTTAAGTTTCAAGTTAAGTTTAGTCATCTGACATTAAAATAGCCTTTGAAACATTTGGATTTACGCGCAGATTATCGGTCGGTACGTCTATATATCTGTGATTTGACCATCCTTGCTATTCACGTGCATTGTTGCGTCTATTGGTTATTCTCTGATAGGCTATACCATGTGTTTATAGGTCTACGGTGGTTTCGTGCATAAATTTATTTTAAAAATGACATTACGTAACCTTGCGCACGCAGCAGCAGCAAACGAATTCTTTTCCATTTTGTGCTAACTATGTGCATCTTATTACAGTTTGTCCCATTGCATGCGCCTTATGATGTCAAAGACTAACCACGGATACGATATAAAAGGGCCAATATAGGCTGCTGCCACCAAGAATGTGAAAGACTTCAATTTTTTAAATTTGATTTTGATTGTGCAGACTCGCTGTCACCCAGCGCCAGAACCGGGCGCTGGGAAGGGCTGACGGCTTTGCGCTGTGATTGGCTACATTGTGCGCGACCTGTGACCGCGAGGTTTCGCTTCCTGATAGTGAAGCATTATTTAATTTTTTTTTGATTCGCCAGTGCCAATACTTTGGCACGTGCAACGTGTCAGCTATGATACGATGAAAACCTCGCCGTGGTACAAACAGTGTGGTAAATTCATCTGCTCGATGAATATCACTGACCACGCGTATTTTGGCGATATATTCCAAATCATTGGTTATCTTTGTCAATGTTGGATGAACGAATAAAGTTCAGTAAAAATATTTTCAGCAATGAGGAAGAAAACGATTAAGTTTACCCACAATGGTCTGTGCGTCGTTGGCTCTGACCCCGAGTGGCGTATTTCCTTCACTAAAATCTGTGCAAGGCTATCGGCCCTTCCCAGCGCCCTGTTCGGGCGCTGAGCGACGAGCAGATATTTCAGAAAGTTTCATCTAAGGTCAATGTGTAAGGGTCACGCAAAACATGACTGTATGCGATATTTGCAGGACACATTATTCTAAGCGGTACATATAGAAGACACCGTATATGAATCGAATGAGCATGACTGTACGCTGCAAGCAAATTACGTTTGCATGATTAGACGCCTGCTACTATACGAAGGGCGGATCTGGGTGGCTGACAACGGGGGGTCATTCCACCCCTCCTCCTAAAAAGGAGCCATTTTTAAATAAGAGAAAGCCCCCCCCCCCAGGCTTTTAAAAGTTACATGGAAAGTTCGAAATTTTTTGGGTTTTTTTACGGCAAAATAGTCCCGGATCCGCTCTTAATTACTACCAATAAAATACAAAAGCATCTTACCGCAGGGTGTTTTGTTGTTGTTGTTTTGTGTTTGTTTCTTATAAATTACCTTCTTAGTTACCTAATAGTCACATCAGTTCCGCTTAAGAAATTTGCTACTTACCAGTGGTGAAAAGATACCATTTATAAAGATCATTATTCCGAGTATATAAAGCAAATTGAACGATTGATCTAGATTATAATTATAACGATCAATAAAGCGCAATCATCCCCGACTTTCAATCAGATTTTCCCCTGTGATTACTGCATTGACAAAAGCCAATCCAATTATTTTGAATTATGTCGTCACCTTCACAAACAGATGGACATGTTCAAAATAACTGTTTGTTTTTATATTGACCACTTTTTGCTTTGAAATGTTCTTTTTGCAATTCTGACTTGTTTTGATATCAAAATGAAACTACTTGTGAGACTCGATTCTCGGTTAGTACAAGTTGCTCCCCCAATCAAAATGAGAAAAGTGCATCCGAAATTAAGAAGTATGTCAACTATACGAGTTCGTTATCACAGAGATAAAAGAACGTAAAGATAGGCTATTGTGGGTTTCATATTAAACTTGGTGCACCTTGAGTTTAAGTTATAACCACAACGAGCGCACACACTCGTTTCAAATACGCAGTGTGGACATTCCTTTGTTCTGCGCAAGAGAAGTCAGGGGGAAATGCTCATTTTTCTCCCACTCCGATGAGCTGGAGTTTGGATGATTTTTTGTACTGTTTCTCTTTATTTTTCCAAGGATAACACTGACTCCTAAATGCCTCTCAAATTGTTTTCAAAAAATTGTTGACAAAAAACACCGTGTGGACGCAGCCCACACAAATTTCTAGTAAACCTACAATAAGTGTCCTCCTGTTTGTGCGGAGATCCACACTACGTACGCTACGCCGGCGTAAAAGACTACTTGAACGATATAAGTTACCATATAGGAGACTCTGATTTCTTATTTTGTAAGGAAGTTCAGTGGTAATCATGAAAATCGTGCAATCTCAGCTTCGCCCATGGTGAGCTTCACCTCAGAATCCAGGGGCATTATTGACCCTTAACCAAAAGAATGCAAAGGATTGATGTTTAAAGTTGGTTTCAAGGCTCATTTCCATGTGTACGTTTTGAGTGTGTGTGTTGCGTAACACGGTGCGTTCATGCGTTTCATTTTCACGGACACCAAAATCAACGACATTAACATGACACACGTATGCCTTGCGTCCGGCCTTCAAAAACGCCCCGGGAGTGATTTTGACGGATACGCAACGCTTGGCGCAAGTGTTGACGCGCGTAATATGGAAAGGTGCCTTTAGGGTGTAGAAAAATTGATGTGTAGCACAAACTGAGGTCCATTCAAAGCAAAGATTCCAACTGAGGGCGCACTTTCATGTCTGGAAAACATGCCAAAGAAGCCTAAAATAATTTGAAGCAAGATATGGGACGGAGAGACCCCCCCCGCCTTTGTGTTGGTCATTGTTTGATCGGAATTTCAGGAATTCTTTACAGACTTCTGGGGGATGTGTTAGGTAACGATAGTCTAGAGTGTGTTTAGGGATTGGACAGGTAAGGGGTCCCATATCTTGCCTGGTATACACAAAATATCTCTTGGTCGAATCCACAGAACATCTGGGTGTGATGACATCTCAGTGTAGGTATACAGTAAAGAAAAGCGCAAAGAGTACGAGGAGAAGAGATTGAGTGACGCTAGATGCAGAACCTGGAGTCGAAATCTGTCTTTCACCTGAAAACAAAAGATCAGTATAATCTGTGCAACGTGACGGGGGCACTGGACGCCAAATTTTGTTTGTAAATGTCTGTTTTAACTACGGCGCATCGTCTACATTCATTGTTCACAGAAGTGAAGTTTATATCTGACGTGGCAGATTCTGTACCTTAGTGCACTGTTCATACGAAAGCTCCTCTGTCGAATAATAGTTTTAAATATTTTAACAGGTTGTGAATTTTTTATACAGACCGAAAGATGCTTGGCAAAGTTTGGTAAGCTCTGGCAAGACATTTGGAAATACTTGATGAAAGTTGGGTTGAAATCGCCGAATTTGGGAGGGTCACTGTGTGAATAGCAATTCGTTCTCTGTTAAAACACATCGGCGGGTACTTTACACACGTTTTCACCTTGAAATGCGTGCCATATTCAGCCAATTCAGCTACCCATTCCTGTTGGCAACTGTGGCTCTTTCATGATACTTATGAGAGGTTTGGTTCACCAAACGGTATTTATGTTAAATGGTACCTGGTTTTGCAACTTCGATCTGACTGGCTACACCGTCGCCCTCCGAGCTGTACCCCTTGACTTTAACAAAGTAAGTGGTGCCTTGCTCTAAGCCATCTATCGTAACCTTGTTGGTGCGACCGCCCACTGTCTTGATTTGTGGAGTCTCGCGACCTCCTTGCGTCCAGTAGAAGACCTGGGCATTTATTTGAACAGACAGAAGATGTTACTTTGGAATGAACACCGTGTGTCCAATAAGAAGAGAAGAGCACTGGAAACGAAAAGTGGTGTCGAAATTAAATTTTTGGCAGCCATATTAGCGAGCTGATTTCAGAAACACAAACAAGTCATGCTTTGTGCGTGCTTTGATGTCAATCCTCCTCCGTGTCGTTCATATTTAATGGCAAAATCGTCAGTTTCATCGGGAAATTCGCAATGTTTGCAACTAGATTAAGCAACAATCCAGCAGCTTAACATGGCGAAAAGGCCCCTATGCATTATTTCCAGCGATATCTAAGCAATTAGAGCGAAGCTTAATTGTGAAATGCTAGGCCTTTTTAGAAATTAATCTTTCTTTAGCAACCGGATCACTCACAGAATTGTATGTGGTGTGAAAACAACACCCTTGATGTTGTCAGATGACCACACCAAAATGTGTTACATTAGCACCTCCGATGTTACTTTGTACATCTACGGGTGTTACAATGCACTGGAGGGTGTTGAGAGTGTTAAAACATCAACGGTGTTGAAATAACACCAAAAACTTTAAAACCAGTGAAAAGAGTTGGTATAATTTTCTGATAACACCGGGGGTGTTAAATGCAACACACTGTGTTTTTTGTACTGATGATCCTTATCCCTGCGACGGTTTTTTTCAACCCCCCGAAGTGTCATGTTGTCAATCAAGATGGACGCGCGCTGGATTCATATGAATCATACCTTATATCCTTCAACATCTGCTGATGTGAGCAGGTTCCATTCGACCGTCATAGTGCTTGTGCCTATACGTGAGGCTACAACATCAGATGGTGCGATCAAGGGTGCTGTCAGGAAGAGCAACACAAGCACGATTGAAAATTGTGTACGTCTTTGTAATGTTGGTCTCTTATATAGGGCCTACATGTTCCCAATTTTATCAGAAAGTTTTCTTTTTTAATTTGAAGGAAATGTTCATTATCGGTGCTGCTCTTTTCTCACACCTTCCAAAAAAACTCCTACAAACCCAATGTTGACAATTGCTTCCCACCATGTGCTTTCAACTTATATTGTGTTTTTTTCTTTGCTTGTTTTCTTTATTTCCAATGAAGCAGATATTTAGGTCGATATCTGGGTCATCAGCTTTTGAGCACATCCTTAACATTGATCCCAAATTAAGAATGGCCTGGTACCGTTTGTATTCCAAAAAATGGTTTTACCAGCAGTTACATTCAAGATGGCGTTGGCAATGATGCTTCCGTGCTTATTTGATGCGACGCATTGGTACACCTCCATGTTCTCTACCGAAATTGATGGTTTGCCATCTATTGAAAAGACATTGATATTGGTTACATCTTCGCTATCGAGCTGCCCCTTACGCCAGTTGGTCTCTCGCACTGGGACTGATTTTTTGCACATTACAAAATCTTTGCTGAAATGCACAATTGTGTGGTAAACGAGATATAGCCGCTGTAGCTGGCTCGTCGGATTCTGTTCGCACATTAATGGAGCCAACAGGGAAACTCCCCCCCCCCTAAAAATGAGCTTCTTTTAGCACTGAATATAAACTTTTCCAACTTGATTTTAAGAGACTTGAAACAAGTTGTCAAAATGACTGCCAAAACCTCACAATGTTTTTGCGAAAACAACAGGCCTAGTTGAAAAAGTGTATTTATTTTCATTCAGTGGCATTGGTAGGCAAAATGCTCTTTCCTTGAGGGTTAATATAGGTTTTGCCGGCCGAATTCATCATCTTCGCACACAAATTAGAGACAGTTTCATTCAAATTAGCACGAAATAGATTGACGATCTCGATACCCATTCAAAGAACAAACCTGATCATTCAGTTTCATTCTAAGCGCATGCAATTGCACAATCTCGTTATTCATAAAGTGAAGGGTCAGCATTCAATTTGGAAAACACGCAAAAAAATCATTCAAATTCGCGCGGACTCCCGCGTTCAATTTCGTGAATCGGCAAGGATTTGTGAGATTCGTGCCATGTTTTTCGTTACACGTGAAATCTTCTAAATTCTTTTTTTTATATAATTTATGCATAATATATCATGAAAGGAAACGTTTAGTTCGCGGGTAAAGATCTCTAATAAAAAATAACGATTGATCAATATTATTTGATAATTTGCTAGTTCGTATTTTGTTTATGTTTGATTTGTTATAAAAATGAATGAACAATAGGGAAGTAAGATTATTTATATCACACAAATGGACAATGAGGGGAAATGTCTAAAAAGGGTCTTAATTTGCCGTATATTCCTCTTACCTTGAAGTTTTCCAATTGGAAGCCTCAAAGTGCGAACATGATTGCCCATAGATGAAAACAAAAGTGAAATTCGGAAGGAATTTTTCAGTCCAGTCATGTAGCGCGAAATCGATTGATCGTTGTACACTGTTCAACTGAATGAAATTTGTTCTAAATTGAATTTTACAGTAGGCCTACACTATTTGACGCTTCTAAACTAATTTGAAGGCTCTTCCGTATGAAAAAGAAACAAGGGAGCACCAGCTGAAAAAATCATTGGAATACGAATGAACCATAATGAATATGTCTGTGAATATGACGAATTTGGCCAGGAAAACCTATAATAGGGATTTTCGTCACTGTAATGTTTATAATTCTAAATATACGTTTCCATCGTTTAGACTTGTCCACTTCTTGGGGATGACCCCAAAGCAGACTTCTCTGGCTTGCAGTGTTGCGGTTCATCCGTTGTGCACATATAGGCTTACCGTGTTCCGGTTTGTGTTCACCGTTCGCCATCCACTTAATGTTTGGAGCCGGCTCCCCGCCGGCCTCACACAGCAGATTCGCCGTTTTTCCGTCGTAGATGTCGGTATCTCGAGGCTTGACAATCCAGTATGGCGCCGCTGCACACGAGAACGTGACGAAATTAGCTATGACTTTCGTTCTAATCACGACTGTTAACACAAGTTAAAGTGCCACAAATGTCTCTTGGGAGTGAGGGTAGGTCAGAGGAAATGAGGCTATTGAAATTCATTGAAATTGCAGTGGTGAAATCCAAGTACAGGTCTGTAAGAGCCATATTGCTGGACGCCATAGTTACATGAGGTATGGCACGGCATTCACACTGCAATATTTTAGCCCTTGGGACAATTAACGTGTTTGAGATTTCAATATTCATTTCAAAACCTTTAAAATATGTTTACAATGTTCATAAAGATATTTTGGTAAACGATCTTTATACAAATCACACATTTACTCTTAAGGCAAAAACGTGAATTAATCTCAGCATTCTGGACCTCACGTACACCGGCATTTTTAAAGGCAGTAAGCAGACCTTCAGCATTTTGTTTTATTGAAAGAATAAAATCACTTAATTTAAGACTAGTCCCTAATAACCCATTTGTTGCAGTTTTAGCTCTGTCGATTATGTAGATCTCAATAGAACTGCTCTAAGTAACTCCATTGCCTTCGTAATTACCGTACTCCATCCTCCAATTGGCTGTAAATGCGCTATTGGACGAACAGATATAAATTCTTGAAAAAAATTAAAACTAATAAAATACGCACAGTAAATTGGGGTCGGTAACTCATTCAAAAGTTGTGGTGCCATGTTTAAAAATGTAACTGTTATTTAGTAGACGTATTCATTTATTAAAGTTTTTTTTACTAACGTGATTTTAAAACTCTTTTGAATAACCCTTTATTTAGTGCCCACGGCAAGCCATTGTTTTGCCAGCAATAGTCCACAAAATCTGATAAGTTGACAATTACTGACAGCCATTTCTAACTAGGGGGCCAAAATTTGGGGGAATTTACCCACGATGACAATCTTTTGCCTTGCATTAAACATTCTTTTGAAGTGAATGTTTTCATTTAGAATCCTATTATTCAGTGTTTTATATTATTCATCAAAAACGTCATGACAGGATTAGTTGGTGAATATAGATGTGTATATCGGGAACAGCGGGACACCGAGAATAATCATTGAATTTTATAAAACAATACTATTGAACAAATTTCAAACATTTTTGGAAACCACCAATTTACGCTGGTATCGGACTTCCGTTTCGTCAGAGACTACCAGTGATGGAAATACTTTACCTTCGACATGCAAGATAGTGGTAGCTTCAACATGACCTTGCTCTGATGAAGCCGCGCACTTGTACTCCCCTTCATGGTCCAGTGTTACATTGCGCAGACTCAGTACGGGTCCAGCCACTTGACTGAATGACGGCTGCTGTTCTCTGCTCCAAATGACTTCCGGCACTGGACTGCCAAAAAATATAGGCCAAAAATAAGGGCCAATACTACTACTGTTATCTTTTAAATACTAAGATTCGAGCTTGCGCCCGAAACATCAAAGCTGTCTAAAATCGACTTCTTCTCGAATGGAATGAATGAACTAACAGTGAGATTAAGTATGGTGTTAAAGGAAAAGTTGCCTGTAATTAAAAAAAAATCCCCTTGTCATATAAAACAAAGACAACCCTTCCTGATCTTTACGATTTACAAGTACACTACTTGGTATCCGTACGTNGTCCTCCGAATAAAACAGAGCCTTGGTACAGAAAAAAAAACCTTGGAGAAATGCCGAGAGTTGGGTGCTCCGAATAAAATAACTGGGCGGTTGAGCAAGTGAAAAATAAAAAAGTGTCTCGGCGAATCCGGAAGATTAAAAAATTCTAGAATAAATCCACCCCAGCTCTGCAGGAAAATAAATCTTCTGAGGAGTGATTGACAGCTCTATCGTTCCATTAGACACAATGTATCTTTTTAAGTATTTGGGTCATGCAGGCTCTCTGTGAAGATGCCATTCGGGGCAGATACAGCGATCGTACGTCCTCAGCCAATTACTAAGTTGATTCTTTACAAGTAAAACAGCCATTGGTAGGATACACTTGCGCAGTCCCAGAGTTATTTGTGTGTGTTGACCAGACTGAAAAGTTGCTATTAAACATAAATTCCGACCCTTAAAATCTGTGAAGCACAAGTATCCTTGGATTGTTTTTTAAATGTGCAAAGGCAGGAATATTCTTTTTGCTGGAGGTCCTTAAAATTAAAGATTAAACATCTCCAAAAAGAGCAGCCAGTTGGGGGCTGAAATGTTTTTGCCTAGATCTCAATGACAGAACTCTCCAATGGTAGAATAAATTTGTGAAGGCGATAATGCACTCTGATAGGGAGGGATACAACCTGGAATGAAACATAATGCGATCGGCAGGGCTCAAAATTCTTCCCCTAATTCTAGTGCAAAGAGTGCTGACATTGCAAGCACTTAATGTTTTTCTTCAAGTTCAGTATTGGCAGGCTTCACATACCGAAAATAAATAATGGCGCGATCGGCTAACCTCAAAGGCTGGAAAGATGTTCTACTCCATAACAAACACACCACCCCCCTCTCAAAACTTTATACAATGTATATCTTTTTGCTGATAAGAAGCAAAGTATTACTTTGTGGAATGCAGCGTTTAAGTACTCTACATCAGAGAATTAAAAAGAAATGTCTTAAGCAGAAGAGTGACACAACATTTAATTTTCCCCGCTGTTCGCTGTTCACCGAGAATTTTATTTCCTATCCATGGACGGTTGTTAGAACACCATTCTTGTTTCGGGGACTTCACATTTTCTTCGCATAGGTTTTATGCCACCATGGGAGCCACAACATCTTGCTGTGTGCACAGACCGTGACAGGTCTTTTGTTGTAGAGGAACGCAAGGGAACGGGAGGGCCGTTCTCACGCGTGCAAAGTGGAGAAGCTTGAACAAAAGAATGCGTTCCTGGCGTTCGTACGCGTGCAAACGGTCTCTATATTTTTGATGCCGTCCCTTACTCTTAAGGCAAAAACGTGAATTAATCTCAGCATTCTGGATCTGACGTACACCGGCATTTTTAAAGGCAGTAAGCAGACCTTCAGCATTTTGTTTTATTGAAAGAATAAAATCACTTAATTTAAGACTAGTCCCTAATAACCCATTTGTTGCAGTTTTAGCTCTGTCGATTATGTAGATCTCAATACAACTGCTCTAAGTAACTCCATTGCCTTCGTAATTACCGTACTCCATCCTCCAATTGGCTGTAAATGCGCTATTGGACGAACAGATATAAATTCTTGAAAAAAATTAAAACTAATAAAATACGCACAGTAAATTGGGGTCCGTAACTCATTCAAAAGTTGTGGTGCCATGTTTAAAAATGTAACTGTTATTTAGTAGACGTATTCATTTATTAAAGTTTTTTTTACTAACATGTGATTTTAAAACTCTTGAATAACCCTTTATTTAGTGCCCACGGCAAGCCATTGTTTTGCCAGCAATAGTCCACAAAATCTGATAAGTTGACAATTACTGACAGCCATTTCTAAGAAGGGGGACAAAATTTGGGGGAATTTACCCACGATGACAATCTTTTGCCTTGCATTAAACATTCTTTTGAAGTGAATGTTTTCATTTAGAATCCTACTATTCAGTGTTTTATATTACTCATCAAAAACGTCATGACAGGATTAGTTGGTGAATATAGATGTGTATATCGGGAACAGCGGGACACCGAGAATAATCATTGAATTTTATAAAACAATACTATTGAACAAATTTCAAACATTTTTGGAAACCACCAATTTACGCTGGTATCGGACTTCCGTTTCGTTAGAGACTTCCAGTGATGGAATATACTTTACGTTTCGTCAGAGACTACCAGTGATGGAAATACTTTACCTTCGACATGCAAGATAGTGGTAGCTTCAACATGACCTTGCTCTGATGAAGCCGCGCACTTGTACTCCCCTTCATGGTCCTGTGTTACATTGCGCAGACTCAGGACGGGTCCCGTCACTTGACTGAATGACGGCTGCTGTTCTCTGCTCCAAATGACTTCCGGCACTGGACTGCCAAAAAATATAGGCCAAAAATAAGGGCCAATACTACTACTGTTATCTTTTAAATACTAAGATTCGAGCTTGCGCCCAAAACATCAAAGCTGTCTAAAATCGACTTCTTCTAGAATGGAATGAATGAATTAACAGTGATTAAGTATGGTGTTAAAGGAAAAGCTGCCTGCAAGTAAAAAAATCCCCTTGTCATATTAAACAAAGACAACCCTTCCTGATCTTTACGATTTACAAGTAAACTACTTGGTATCCGTACTACTTAATTACTGACCCAATACGGTACACCGTGTAAATCTAGCAGCACATTTTGAACAGTTAGTCACATACTTCCCAGATGCAAGGCAGTACATCTGCACGTCTTCTCCTTGTAAGGTGTGGATGACTCCAGCGCCCCCTAGGATTGTCGGTGGTTGCATGGGAACACCTTCAGACCCTGCAGAAGTTATATGGGAATGCAGAAAGGATGTTCTCCTCAAAGATGTTGATTAACGCTACCGGTATGTCCTCAGTTATCAACGTATCTATCAACCCATGCCAATGTTCAACGCAAGTATCGTTTTTACTCATTTTCCATCCTTCAAAAGCCTTACTTTACTCTTGACCCCTGCCGATGCCGAGAAATTGTTAAGATAATGGCATGATTCTTTCCCGTTATAGAAATTGTCGTAATTATTGGAAATCCTCACCTCTTTCGACTCTAACCCCCTTTCTTGCTGAAAAAGGAGAAAACACTGGGATGGTTGGCGACCTGACGCGGCACGTGTAGTTGCCCTGATCACTCGACAAAGCTGCCAGGAAGACCAGGTTACCAGCATCATCCTGCACCAAGTTGCGATCTGGGTTCCACCACGACCCGTTGGCGAAGAGTGGTCGATCGTTTCCGTCGACCCAGAAGATGATCGGGGCCGGATGCCCGTCTGGAGCCTCACAAGGCACCGTCAGCAGGAGACCTTCAATGATGGAGTAGCTTTGTGCCTCGCCAATAAAGTAACCCAGATCTTAAAAACAGACATTTGCAATACACCTCATTCCATGGAAGCCATTTTCTATTGTGTTTCCTGAACCTATCACATTCAGTATAATCTGTTAAATGGGGTTGGTGCCAGACTATTTAGGGGAACAAAGGCTGCATCCGAATCTCTTGTCTAGAGCTAGGTCTTGGTATTCACTCCATTGGAAATGCATGGAGCCGTGCAGACATAGACCTAGCCGTAGCTATGGAAGCCCGTTTCGGACACGGCCTGAGTCTCACCTTCAGGTTTTTGCATATAAATACAGTTAATCACAAATGCCAACTTACTCTGAAATGTTGTTGATTCGGAATAAACTGTTATTTTGTTGATGTTGATTTTTCTCTCAGGTTCTAAAAATGAAAAGTTAACTTCACTTTCCATTCAAGATGATCGACATGTGATTACATTCTATTGCTGTTTCCACAAAAAAAAAGTGCCAAGGTTCATTGTGACGCGTGATGCGTTGCACATCATGCCATCGATTGGAAATTTGGATTAAGTTAAGAATATAAGGATAAAATAATGACATTAATACAACTTATCGTGCTCCAAGCATCCGCACTTTCACAGAGGAGTAACGACATGCCACGGACAGGCTGCAAAATTCAAGGTCTCTGCTGCACCAGCTCCGAATATTTGAAGTTACTAAATGGTAACAAATGAGTTCACAATAAACCAAGCCCCCTTCCAAATTTCGGACTGGTCTTCTTGCAAAGACTAGCCTATGTCTGACAAGGCTTGGAGTCCATTAATCAGTTAAGGTAGCTTAATTTTGGCAATTATCGTTAAATAAAGCCGCAACAACAGACCAGGCAGAAATTCGGGCAACAGGATCCCAGCGGTTGGCAGCAGAGCGCGCATTTTCTGTATACTCACAGCTGTACTGGACTCGGGCGGTGGTAGAAACTGCCGTGCCGAGGTCGTTAGCGGCGAAGCAAATGTAGTTGCCGGCGTCGGTCTCCTGGGCTGGATTTAACACGAGTTCACCTGTGTGGCTGGGGCCATGACTTATTGGCACACCGTTACGCTCCCACCGATAGCTGCCGAGTCAAGTGAGCGCAGACGGATTGAAGAAGTCAACTTGTTAAGATCCTGACATAAGGTATCTCAGGACGACATCTTAACAACAATATGTACATGTCGACAAACTGGATGGAATGCACCGACATCCTTAACATAGGATGTCGGCATACTTAACATGGGATGTTGAAATCCTCAGCGTAGGATTTCGACATCCGTAACATAGGACGTCGACATCCTTTGATTACTCATCAACAGATGAAGATATCCTAAGATAATTTATAATGTAATTCCGAGATATCGTCATTTCTGCTTGAAGTATTACTGGATTTTGTTTTCCTACTTCCGGCGTGTTTCATTTTCTCAGAAAGCCGTCACCTCCTGTTATACACTATCTAAAGATGTCAACATCTTTTCCAGTAAAATGTCGTCATTATACGTGGAATGGAATAAAATAAGGATCCCAACAAGTCAGATGGTACTCTCATCAGAGCTCGTATGAGGACGGTGCCTCACAATGTCGTAAGCTGTCGCGGTTCATTTGTCCAGACGCCGCCGCATTTTGCCTCGGAAACGGTGCCACACCTCCATGATTATGTGTGATTGTGGGTGAAGCCTGCTGTTTAGCCGTTGTTTCACACAAAAACGGCACCAGCCAGATTTTATGTATGAAAATGCTGTGACGTCATCCATCCATAGAATTTCTTTGTAAATTCATGCCGAGTGACTGTGATAAGCCCTGTGATTATAACTTTCATCTGTTTAATTTCCTGTCATGCTGCACACGTTCCAATTTTGTATTTACAGCTACAAACTGAAATTACCAACGTTCACCAGTAGTTTGAATGACCCACTCGATCATCGTCAGTGTTTGTGAATGAAATACTCTCAGCTGTACAAAATCTTTTTTGTTGGCGAATATTGAATCACTCTATTGAAACTAACGTGTAATTAGTTGGAGGTTGCCAAGCCTGAACGTCATTTTGCCTAGGTTTCTTCCTTCCCTGATCTCGGAGATGGACACTACCTCTGATCAAGTGCAATGGTCTAAATACATGGCATCGTGGCATATATTTAGACCATTTGCGTAAGCTTTGGACATCAAAGGCTTCTACATATTTTTTGACGCAGGGATGAAGCCCGAGCCGCGTACCTTTCTGTATCTATCCTCTGTAGTCTGGTAAACAGGTCTCTCCGATTGCTTTTGAATATTCTTCCTTTAGATAGATAGAATTGATAGAATGTGATTTCTTAACTTACGATATTGGGTGCGAGCCAGTCGCCTGACAAGGCAGAGTCACCGGAGTGGGCTTCCCGTCGTAGTCACTGAAATAGTAGACAGACTCGCTCGGCTGCTGTGTGAATATGGGTGGCGCTGTTCAAGAGAGAGAAAATTACGTCTATTCAGTATTATGTATGGCCGTGTCCTTAACACTTGACAATGGCTTGAAATTGCACATAACTTTATGGAAACTGGCTGCGACTACAACTATAGACTCGAGTGTAATTTCTAACTGCAGCAAAGCAATTCGGACACGGCCTATGAAAGCTTAAAATGGCAGACTGCGTTGGAAGCGCCCGTTTGGGCTCTAAAATACATTCTTCGCGAAAGGATAAAACACATTTTCCCGGCTATTGAAATGATTTTCATTCCAATTTACCGATTTGAACATTTGAATAATCAAGTTAGTCTTTCGCAATTCGACTTCAGAGTTTGAATACTGTAACACCGTGTCGAAAGATAATCGTCCTCACTAAGTTGTTGCTAAAGGGACCCCTCATAGATCGGCTAATTTCTGTATCAATTACTTAAATACTTTTGCAAAGTAAATCACTGTAGCATGTGCATACTTGTCTTATGTTCTGGGCACAGCATGCACATTCATAACAAAGGTGAAAAACAACAAACAGACCCCCAAAACATTCAGTTTCTTTAGACTTTTTTCTTCAGCAAAACTGGAAACGGTATGTAAACTACATACCGTTTCCAGTTTCTATATACCATTTCCAGTTGCAGTAAATCGACTAAAATCCCATGAGCCTTTTTTTCAATTATTCCAATTACTCCAATTATTTGATTATTTTGAATGTCTCCCCACTCTTTCTGGTTTTGCATAACTGTTATACTTAATTTATTAAATGACAAAATGAAAGTATGTTTTGAAATAATAAGATTTCCCACGATCTCCGTGCAGAACAATCATGGAAAGGTAAACAGAGGACTGAAAGCGTGTGTTTCAGTTTGCCTTTCGGTTATAATATTTCGAAATAACCTTCACGCTTTGAATATTTTTTTTTTTAGAAAAAGGCAAACATACATTTCTATTACCTCGGGCCTTCTTCCTCGAATTTAAAATAACCATTGAAGCTCACCTTTAATCTTGTACTTTTGATNAGTGGCATATAGACGCAGAAGTTTGGATACAATGTGACCTTAAAAGTATGATACTAGTCTGAAGCGGACAAACATGTTTTTGAAACATGAGTTTAAAATTGTCAATGCTTTAGTTTCAATCCAATTTTATCGTATGTTTTCATACTTTGGATCAAAAGCCTTTCGCCAACGGGCTCAGACACAAACAGGCAAAGCCGAGCTTTGGTTGAATTCTCCTCCTTGATGATACTGTTGATTTGCTCACCAAGTGGTGGAATCAAGTTGACGTCGGCAACGAAAGAAGTAAATGGATAATCATATTACTGCATTTACTTACAATGTTGCTGGCACTGACTTGGACAGCCTAGGGAAGTGAGCAGGAACAGAACTAGGTTTGCAGCTGTCGGATCAGCGAAACGGCTCCCCTCCATAGCCCTTTTACGGAAAATAGATATGTTAATCGGGAAGGTCATCGTGTCTCGTCAATAATTGTGCGCATGTGTGGGTGCAGGGGTCGGAATAAGCCACTGTGCTGAGGGCCCGCGAAAAGTTTTGAGGGCAACGACAGCATTTAATTTTTTTAATGAAAAGCGTAATAAAAATAAATTTTCCATTGCATTTTTTTTATTTATGCAATAGGAGGAGCCCCCCCCCCCAGCATTGATCTCAAAGGTCGATGACCACCAGTGGAGTGGCTGCGGGGGGGGGCGCATGGGGGGCACGTACGCTCCCCATGAAAAATTGTCGCCCCTAATCTCCCCACTTGCAGTCCTGATGTGATCACGATTATATACATGTATATGTCCAACATCCAGTCAGCCCCCCGACTTTACACAGCTGACACTGTGAACCTTCAACACCGAGAAAATGCAGTTTTACCATTAAATCACCGTGAATTTTTGTCAAGGCAATGTAAGCCCGTTTTCACGGTGGAAAGTTGATCAGCTTGGGAGCGGATTAGCTCACAACAGTTTCACGGACTTTTCACGTCAACATATTGGTAGCTTATGGTGCTATTGTTATTCATAACGGTACACTAGTCCGGCTTCCCACCGTGGAAGGTGTGAAAACAGCGGATTAACTGTCGAAGTGTAATAAAAGATTAGTGTGATAGACAGCCAGGAATTAGCGCAGCAGTTACCAACAAGAGGAGCAATTGAATACCCCTGTTTAGGTCTAGGCCTCCGGGAACCAGCGGAAACCTTGCATGAAGCAATATTGCGTGTTTTCGAGACCGTGATAGCGAAATGCGAAGGGAACTTGTGAAAACCACAAAATTTTCTTTCCACATGTTGTGAATGTAAAGCAGGTGTTTTGTGAGGGAAAGACAGGATTGATATTTCCTTTTTTGAGCAGTGAGAAGAGATGGATACACGTACGATGGCTCAAATTTGCCGGATGCAGCTGAAAAGTTGATAAGCACATTTTGCTTATGTAGAACCATGGAGGAAGGACACAAGTTTTTTTTTTTCAGCCCTAAAATGTGACACGATTCAAAAGATTCTCTGAAACTTGGTGTTAGATGTCACAACACCCCCCTTGACCACATACCATACTGTTTAGGTCTGGAGTGTAAACTCCTCGCTCATCACGAACTCAACGGACCGCACTCTAGCAAGATCCACTGTCGCGTCAGCCCTTGACACTCATGCCTCATACGCTCAATCTTAACGATGCTCTGTGGGCACGGGGCCACTAAAAAATTCATTGCGCCACGGCATTCTCCAAAATCAATGGCCCAACCAGCAGTGGTCATTTGAGGAACACTGCCACATTTTCAAAACTTTCCTCACATTTAATGACTCGTGTTTTAAATCACCGGCGCAGCACTTTCAAGTTCACCGTATAATTCCACAGCCAGAACAGTTGTGATTGCCTGCTTAATGTACGAGGCTCATGTGCTACATGTAAACACGTAGCCAGCGCGCAACGCGACTGTTCATTGCACGGTCGACAGTCGTGCACACGGCTCATACTCTTGCAAATGACCTGAGTAGATGTTGGCTGGTATAATTTTCTAACAATGCCAATTTACTTATATTCCTTCCCAGTTTATATACATTCCTTCGCATGGTGCTACCGCAAGCCTTTCCACCTATTGCTGTCTTTCTCACCATGAATTGCCTGAAATTTCATCCAATGCCAGTTTGACGTCCTCTCCCACGGACACCAATGAAACCTTTAGTGAGGTCGTGTCGTGTTGCGCCTCAGACCATGCTCAGACCGATCACGCAACATATATGTAACCTCAAATTAAATTTGTGAACACAAAAATACGTACATTTTATATATCCAGNTCACGAAACTTGGTGTTAGATGTCACAACACCCCCCCGTTGACCACATACCAGAAGACATGTGAATATTTCCAACTTTTGCGGGCAGAAGGCACATTGAGTGGTGAAGTAACTACACCGAATTATGGAATTGCCAAAAGACTGTATACAAAGTGGTGGAATAACAAAGCCGACAATGTAGCATCGGAGCGAGCGAGGATAGCAACGGCGTGTACATCATGGTCCAATCCAGCATCGTGCATGGACAGTGTTTGCCCGTAACGTTTATCACACTTGCCAGCCGTACCAGCAGTGATGGCTTTTTACTAGTCCATAAGCAGAATTTTCACTAGTCCACGTCTTCCCCCAAATTTCAACATTCTTTTTTGCACTAATGTTTTCTGCTCCAACATCATGCATAACAGTGTGCACTCGGTGCTGACTGTTGTTTAATTGTCGATGAGTAATCATAAATGGCCATGGGAATTATGAATTTCCAGAATATTCATGAGTATAACTCTACTCAAGTAAATTAAATATAAATCACAGATATGCCACAAAATTGAAGTAAATGTTTCTGTGAGATGACATAATTTGTGGGGAGTCGTTTTGCTGAAGTCCCTACAATGTTCGCATTCAGCTACAGGCCATGAAGTAGTGTATGAACAACCTGGCCGGGGTTACAAGTACATTGCAAGGATGCGAACATTGTAATTGGGGTGTACAGTGTACATTTACACCTGTCACCACCACAGGAAGAAGACAGGTAATGGTACTTTTTAAGAGGGATTCAGATAATGGGTCCGGAAAGCATTTAAAGGATTAGCCCCACCGCAAAGTTAATGAGGAAAGCCCCTAGATGGGCTCACTGCATTTTCACGGTGTTTCCACTTGACCTCAAGGTGTCGGCAACGGGTCACATCCGGGATTTTTTAACGGTGTTTTCACCATGTGAACTGCCATAAAGTTGCAGTGAAAAAACAATTTCACAGTGAAACTGCAAATTAACTGCAAATTCGTCGTGATGATATTCATAGTGTGAAGATACGACAACTTAAGGTCTGTAGTGTTGAAAATGAATTATAATATAACACACAAAGTGCTTGTTCAACCACATCTTTATAGAGAAGGAATTGGCTGTAAACAGGTTCTCTTCACAGGACAATGTGTCAGAAGAGCTGTGCATCACACATCAGATACACCACACAACGCAACATGTTATTTAGCAGAACTATTGGGTGCCTGATTCAGCTGTAATTTTATGCAAGTACAGGACATGAGAGAAAACGCCCCTCCCCCCAAAAAAGGGCAAAGTGACGTGTCATTCACATAATACTCTGAAAGAGATTGGACATGTAGACGGGTGTAGACGTGGTCCGGGGACTATATTGATGCACGTTCATTTAAAAACAGTAAAGAGAAGCTGTCACGGAGAACATTTTATGTTGACGACCATTGTTTGTGTGAATGTGTATATTTTGCTACTTGATGCACTATTGTAGCGTTTTACTCAGCCTTTACATAGAAACATTCTGTGCAGTAAGGTTAATGAATGTGTTATCTCCTTAATTTGAACAGTGAAAAGCAATATCTCTGAGATGGCCGAGTGGTTAAGCTTGCGGTCGTGAGATCGTTAGATGATGGGTTGCGAATCCCAAGGGTGGCGTTTTATTTTCCTAACGCTCGCTGTCAGTCAGTACTTATAAGAGACACTCTAATTCACCCCTGTAAAATACCAACAGTACCTCAGCCGACCAGGTAAGCTCTGCGGCTGGCACTGTCCGCGAAGTCCAGGTGAGCGCCTTAGTACAGGTTCGAGACAAATGGCCGACTCGGCAGCCAGGGCTTAGGGGTGCACTGAACTAATTCAAGCTCCATTGAAAATAGTGTAAAATCAACCAAGTTTGGAGCCCCATGGCAGGCAACTGAAGTCCTT